ACATCCAGCAGCCAGCATCCACCTGCACGATGGCTTCCGAACCACCCTTGGGATAGTCCAAGCCTCAGCACCGCTGCAGAAACCATGCAGAAAGCTGAAGAAATGTGGTGGATAAATCATTAAGAATGAAGTCCCGAAGTAGATTGGAACAATCATTAATACAGAATCATTAATCTAGAATCATGAATATAGAATCATCGACAATAATCAGCTGTGGCTATCCCCATGCAACCAACTTAGTATATCACCTGAGATGTAATCCTCAATCAACAGGGTGTGCTTTTTTTCGTTGCACGGCAAGCCAGGAGAAGCCGAGAGGCATGTGCCGCCTTTGCGGTACAAGTCTGCCATCATGTAGGCCTGCCACTGGAAAATCAATTTGCCAAGTGCTGTTCGAACTTACAATGGCCAGATATGGCCAAATGATTGATGTATTTTCTCGTCGAACCCATTAGAATCAAAGAATGCTTCCAGAATGATGTCCCGCACAACCCCCGATAACCCCGGCCATCATGGAGGTTGGAGAGCCGTAACTCGGCAAACCCTGCAGAAGGAAGCTGAAGAGACTCAAGTAGTTCCTGGGATCACGGAGGATAGCAACTCACAGATGGAAACGTCTGGAAAAATCATGAAACATCCGTCCAAACAGCAGGAAACATGTTGCTTCACGGTTCTATCTTTTGGGAGGCACTATACCTAGCAACTACTAGGTGTTGATCGCAAAAAATCTGACAATGGTTCTATAGTTGTGGATTGCATGCGTGCCGACAATCACTAGGGTGAAGTAAAGCAGTGGTATTGCAAGTGGAAATTGTGGCTCCTCGTTGCGCAGAGAAGGTCAATTGATTCAATAATGCATGGTGCTTGATGCCCCGTATACTGTATCGGGCCTCAAGGGAATAGAAATGTATTTTTTCTCACCTTTTCTATCCATACTTGGAGGGAAATGCGGGAAAAAACAACAAGAACTCACATCTCTCCATCATCTCATTCCAATCAACATGTACAACAAGCCCCTCAGGCACCGCTGTTGGATAACCCAACTGATGTCATGAAATCCCATGGCTGGTGACTGAAACGGTTGGGTTTTTTTTTGGTCATCAAATACCTATACCGTCAAACCCAATGGTTGATCCTCGTTTTACCTGTCAAAACAGCCATTTTCAGGTGGGAGATCCACCATGATCCAGCGCCGAAAAAGGCACTTGACGAAGGTGTCAGTGACGCCCACTTCGGTGAGAAACTCCTGGGACCAGGGCCCCCAGGGCCCTGGGCAGCTGGGTTTTGCTGGACAGATCTGGAAAGTTTTGCTGGGTTTTCCAGCTCCAAGGCGAAGCTAGATGATCTAAGTCTACCTATCATTACCTATCTAATTAACATTAATTAACTACATATTGGGTATCTAAAGTGTAACAATTACAGCGGCCCGCCTCAAAGGGTTGGCTTAGCCGCGCTGCACCTCAGAACTGGGCCAAAAAGTGGGCTCAGAACTGCAGCAACAAAGCTCAATATGCTCAATTTACGGATAGAATGGTATTTGGACTGGAACATGGGATTGCAGTATTTCCAATTTCACCTATCCAAATTGCTGGAATCTGACTGTTCTTTCCCCTCTCTCTGTGTGTGTGTGTGTCAACATTCGCTTTAAAAGGAAAGGCGAAGCACCAGGGTAGCCATGTCCCAGCCATGTCCCATGTCCCATGTCCCATGTCCCATGTCCCATGTCCCATGTCCCACCTCCTGGGATCCCAAAAAGGAGAGGCCCCAATCGCCTGGCGAATCGTCCCATGGTGACAGCGCCCCAGGAGTCATCCCGCAGAGCACCGAAGGGAGGTGCGTTGTAAAGCGCCTCAGTGCTGGTGACGCTACCGGAAAAAAGGGACGTCGCATGGGCCGCAGGGGCCCTCCAACAGCATTCTAAGGAGCCTTGAATCATCTACATCCATCTACATCACAGTTCTCACCAACCTTACAGTGAACCCCCCAGGTAAAAGCAGGGCTGCATCCTGGCGGCATCCGACATGGGCCGCAGTTCGGACATGAGTTTCTGCCACTGCTGCACCGCATCCGCACCTTTGGAGTGGCGGGCGTGGGCTTCACACATGGATGTTTGACACCCCCACCCACTAAGAGGTTGTGATCCCAGCCAAAATGATCCCAAATGTTGCATGAAATGTTGGGTCAGTGGCCATTATAATCATTATATGCCTCGATCATCCTAGATCTTAGGGGTTCAAACCCAGTCGGCGGCTGGGAACCTCCATAGTTGGGCAGCAGCTTCTGGACGACCTGCTGGTACCCCACCGCCACATTCACTTCGCCCTCGGGCAAAAAGGCGTTCCAACCTCGGATCGCGCAGGGGGATGGTTACACCCAGGAAATTCTGGGTGCTGCCAGTTGTTGTATCCGGTTTTATCTGATTCTTTTTGAAGGGTGACAAGATGGATGCGCGCAAAGCCCAGCAGTCGAGGGGCGGTCGTAGGTGATCCATTCCGGTTCTTTGCCAATGATCTGAAAGACCTTTGGCACAGCCCAATTTGGCCGAATTTCCGTGGGAAAAACTCCGGAATGCACCCACAAACATGGAGCATTTCTCCAGAAAAATGTGCGGGAAACAAGCGGGACAAGCATCAACCAAACTCGCAATTCTGAAGCATCAGCAAAGATCAACAAAGCACATGTAGCTGAGCTACTTGGAAAGGCCACATCTTTCCACAACAAAAAAAACCACAGCATCCCAATCCCCATGGCATAGCGGCATAGCATCCCAGGCACGTGCTTCAGCTGCGAGGGGCTCTCTTCTAAACTCAAACCGCTGTAGAGTGAAGGCCCCGACTCGAAGTGGAACTCCTCGTGTGCGAAAACACTTGGGGAAGATCCATGGGATTGAAGTTTGAAGGGAAAAATGATTCAAACTGGTGGTTCATGCTGGTATACCCAGCCCGGCCCTTTTTGGGAAAGGGGAAGCCAAGCATCTCCCACATCAGCAACTTTGGCTGTAAAGGTGTGGCAGGCTCCACCCAACCTTGGCTCAATGATACCAAATGAGGGTGATTCATTCTGATTTAAATATATTTAATTACCGCTATTTCAACATGTTAATCATGTTTGTTTAGGGCTATTCAATGCTAATTGCTGCTTTCAACCCCCTTGAAAAATATGAAAATCAGATTGGATCATCCCAACTATATCAACTATTGGGGATGCCTGTACACCATTCATGTTCCAAAGCACCACGCAGAATGGCTATTTTCCATGGCTATTCCATGGCGATTTCCCCCTGGCGCCCCGGGGGCCGCCTGTAGTGGGACTCGCAGACCGTGACCCGGCGCTTTGCCGCCGCCAGCACCGCGGCGCAGCTGAGACTTCCAAGGCCGCTGCCGATCAGAACCACGTCCTGAAACGACCAGAAGGCCCTTGGAGGTACCAGGTGACCCAGGTGACCCAACTATTTCATTGATGAATAACTTATGGTTTTTCATGGCTTCGTAATTTTTACTCACCAAAAGGTTATAAAAATGCCTTAGTAATAAGTACTAGTAGTTAATGGGTTAGTAATAAATTGACCTTCATCTATTTAACTATAACGGATTAATAGATGAATAAACTAATAAATGCAAGGAGGACTTAGTCTTTGGAAATAGCAACAATGGGCCACCTGGTTTCCCCTACAATACTGGGTGACTGTTTTCTATTGGCCCATCTTTGGACTGGTTTTCTATTGGGAAAGCTCCGCCAAATATCCGTTTCGTGGCTCTCATGTTGCGCCGCTCTGCGCAGGTATGCTCGACCTGGCTTGGGGCGGCTGGTAGGTTGTTGAGGTCGGACGATCTCGAAAATGGCCCATGTTCATCATGTGGATTGATCATTCGCAGGCTTCTGACACTGGATGAAAACAAACCTTCCGTATCGGAAAATCAGTAGTAACATGTAGAAACTATCGAGAATGGGAAGCTTCAAGTAAGAATCCAATGATTCTTTTGGCACGTTTTTCGCCCTGAAAATCAGTAAAAGTGGACGATTCCATACGATTCCATACGATTCCTGCCTCGCCGGCAGTGCCGCACCGCTCCTCCGGCAGCCAGCGCAACTGCACCGACCAGCCCGGCCGTGTTGCAGGGCGCCCTCGAAGCCTGACCGAGTTTTCTGATGTTTTCTGGGTTGAACTCGCGGGGGTTGAAAATCAGCATGGCAACTATAGCATTACCAACTATTACTGCTATTAGATACTATTGATGCTGTTACTTGTTCCGGTTTAATGATGTTTCATGTACATCCCCAAAGTAGAGAACATGTCTCCCAATGGTTAGAAATTGGGGATGGCCCACGTTCATGCTCGATCTTCTCCAGAATGGTTGCTTCCCACTTGACCTACTATCACATCAAACCTTCCTAATCGGCTAATCGCAAATGCCCGGTGAAAAAGGTGTATGTATAACTATCTATCTATCTATCTATCTATCTATCTATCTATCTATCTATCTATCTATATATCTACCTATCTATCTATCTATCTACCTACCTATCTATCTATCTCTCTAATCTCATCTCATCTAATCTATCCTATCCTATCTATCCTATCTATCCTATCTATCCTATCTATCCTATCTATCCTATCTATCTATCCTATCTATCTATCCTATCTATCTATCCTATCTAATCTAATCTAACCTAACCTAGCCTAACCTAGCTAGCTATCTATCTATCTCTATCTCAATCTCTATCTCTGTCTATCTATCTATCTATCTTCCTACCTATCTATCTATCTATCTATCTACCTATCTATCTATCTATCTACCTATCTATCTAGCTATCTATCTACCTATCTATCTATCTATCTACCTATCTATCTAGCTATTTATCTATTTCTATCTCTGTGTGTGAGTCTCTTCCTCTCTCTCTCTCTCTCTGTAATTATACGTATACATGTTCTTCATGTGTAATGGGAAAGTGCTCCATTCACCTACCCATTACACATGCGCGCTGGTTCAATTGCAAGTTTTGGGAGTGAACCTCCCAAGGGTCCCAAGGCTGCGAGGTCGGGCGTCCAACCTTGGCACTGCTCAGCTTCAGCGGCATCGAGGCCCTCGGGAGCCTGAGGGACCTCGGGGCCTCAGCGACGCTAGGCGCAGCCATAGCCACCATGGCAACCGAGGCACTGCCCGAGTGAAGCATCTGTGAACCACAATTGGCCATAGGGCCATAGTCAACGGTGAATTTCAGTTGAGCCATGATTTTTATGATTATCTTAGATTATCTTGTTGAAGTTCTCGGACTTCAGTTCTTTGGAAGCAAAGTGCTGGACATCATTCTGGTCCTTCAGTGGTTTTGCTGACGAGGTGGGTCAACATTTAGGTACAAGCAGCAGGCACAGTAGGCCTTCGGGCCAACGTGTGACAGAAAAAGTGGGGATGCAGATTTCACTTCGCGGAAGTGTCCATTGGTCGGTGCGGATGATCTTGGCAAAAGTGTTGACTGTCATTTCGTGGATTGATGAAGAGTTTCTTCATCAAGTACCTCCAAAACTCTCCAAAATCAGCTCTTGCTCATCCCCCCTTAGTCAACCGAACAGCAAACCTGGATCATGATGATCATGTCAAATGGATTCAAATGGTACGTTTCTTTGCAAACTCTGACGTTTTAAGCCACGTTTGCAGCTTCGTTTCCGGGAACGTCAACCCCTCCGACACGGCACAGCAAGCGCCGCTTTTCACCCACAGCAAGCGCCGCGTGGGCGCTTCAGGTCCCACTCTTTGGGACTGGGAAAATACTGTGCGGCGCTGGGCTCAAAACCTCCACCATTTTGGATCATGGATAGTTGGACTCAGCTGGACGTGAGGGATCTCGGTCTGGAAAAGTGAACCCACAGATGCATCTTCATCCCATTGTCAACTTAAGTACATTGGTTAACCATCATTTTCCTTATTAAATGGTCATTTTATGGATGATTGTATATGAACTGGCTGCTGATGACCGAACTGGCCATGCGAAGGTTCTATGCCAATGCAGCCGTTGCAGCTCCTACGCTAAGGTACCTGGGACTGTTGCGCCGTCTTGGCGCAAGGCTACATCACCTGGGATCGCCTACTGATCCTACTGCATAGTTCAAAACATTCACAACTTGAGCAACACAAGGATAAGACATGATAATGGGTAATAGATGATAAGTGATGATAAATGATGATAAACTATGACTATGATAAATGAAAACATGCTGTCAAAGAAATGAAACAAATCCATACTTAAATGATGGAATCGATATATATATATACATAGTTCTGTTATATACATATGTGTATGTGTGTGTGCAACAAGTCATCATCTTTTTCGTGTAGCCCCTCCTGAACGCAGCCGCAGCTCAGGCTCAGGTCCGCAGCCGGAAGACCATGTCCACAAGTCCCGTCACGGCGTACGATATAAAAAACTCGCCTACCGTGGCAACTGGTGACCGGTGACCTCTCTGAAAACTGGGAAGATTGATGAGAGATGGAGTTTACTGGAGATTGATCCAAGTGAGAAGTCTAATCACATCATGGGTTTGAGGGAGCCCACAAGATGCTTTCAAGGCAAGGAGGTAGGGGGCCATCCCAATCAAGACCCTTGCAATCCAATTGATATCATCCACACCTTCACCCGGAACCCATGCCTGATCGAGCGGGTAAACCTCGAAATCCCCTTGCGTCCAGGAAGATGTAGTGTCCTTGGCTCGAAACCCACAGTGATTACTGTACCCGTGACAAGAAAGGCTCGTCTATTGCCTTGCTCACCCACACGGACCAGTACTGGCCAATGGATGCCAATGGGATGTCTTGAAAGGTACTTGATGCTTTGGACCAAGAGAGATGAGAGGTTGAAGAAACGGATGAAATCCACAGAAATTGGATCCACCCTCCAAATGGCACCAAACAATCCTATATGGCGCGTATGACCCAACGGCCCCAAGATACACATGGCTGTGCAGACCATATGCCAAGGCATGACCCCAATTCATGGTGGCCCACCCAAGCACCAAGTGACTCATGCAAGCCACAGGTTTGTGTGGCGGCAAGATAAGCATCCTGGCCAGAAACCAGCTGGTAGAGTCGTGCCCCAAAAGGCTTGTGATTTCACAACCATCACCCGCCTTGACACAGCTGTGTCCAGCGGATACGCCATCACCACTGCCGTCGCTGCTGCTATGCCATAGGCCAACGGTGGCGGCAAGGTGTGCGAAAGGAAATCGCCTCGGCAAACGGCGTGACATACGGTGACTCAACGTTGGGAGAGTTCTGCCATGAAGTGGTGGATAGATGTGGATAGTGTTTATAAGGGATTTATGGAGATAATTAAGTTCAGTTGATTCGTGGATACTACATGTGGGATGATTCCAGTTGAATCAAATGGAGATATTAGGGATATTTATGGATATTCTACTGCAGTTAATGTGGTAAGCCCACAACCGCATTCCTCGTCCAGCAACTGGAATGACATCATCCCATCCAGGAACTGAAAAGGCATGCCCAGTTTCATGAACTCCAATGGAGGATGGTTCATGACTGATCTAAGGCTGCAGGGGTCAAGTTGTGAGGGTGTTTTTAAGTGTTTTATGAGGCCCCACCCCTGACCTTTACCTGACGTGAACGGAATTCCAACCATGGCTGCGCCCTGAAAACCATCAGTCTTGGTCACACTCTCATGTTACATCATGTTGGTTCATGTTATTTTGGATCATTCTTGGCAAAACATAGTGCAAGCCAAATGGATGATTTCATCCAATAAAGAACAGACCAGTTTGGACCCCGACCCAGCTCTCCAGGCGAGCAACGCGTGCAAAAGAAACTGCTGTCAAAGACTGAGCAGCAAACTGCCTCGGCCAAAAAGTTGTCCAACTACTAGATGGCCAGACACACCCACTTGACCTGTGACCCTCAGCCCTCAACATGCCAGCTGGACATGGATTCGAAACCATCAAAATTGGAGGAATTGGCTATCTTCCAGCAGTGTCATCTATTCCTTCATCCATCTATCCACCATTTTCCACCCATGGGCCCCCTGACTTTGGGAATGCCCCTCATTTTTTGCACCGAACGATCAGCATCGATCAGCCTAGGTGCCGCCGCGTGCATGCGCCGCAGCAGGCCACTGCGAAACAGCCCCGCGTTCCACGCGTCAGCGCACAAGCTACCAGGACCTGGCGGGGTGCCATGGCGACTCTGCGAGAGCCCATATGGCGGGATTCAATCGAACTCAATCCGAAAGACTATGAGTTTGAAGTCTCAAAAGCTGGGGGGTGCACCATGTCCCCATGTTTCTTTGAAAAGGATTAACCCATCAAACCCATAAAACAGAGGATTGTTTGATGAAAATTCCAGGACCCCCCGAAACCCCCGTTGTTTTTATTGTTGGCGCATCTTTCCACGACACCATCTTGCACTCAATTTCTAGCCATGCCACGAGCGCGCGAGGCTGAAATCACCCCTTGACTGAGCAGTTTTTTCCGGTACTCCGAGAGGGCTTGCAGGAAGCCTGGCGGTGAACCCATGACATGAACATGCCGGGCTTAAAGGAATGAATTTGCTGAGTTCCTCCATGCAAATCACATGCCTTAGCAGCCTTGGTAGCCCTAGTAGCCAGCCTTTAGCAGCCTTTAGCAGCCTTAGCAAGAAATCTGAAGATGAATTTGAGGGATCTCAGGCCACTTTCGGACAACACACCGCAATTGTCCCGTCAAGCTCAAGACTCTAGGCCTTTGCAAAACATTCACAAGTTGTCTGCTCCACACCATGGGCCCTCAGAACCTTTTGATCCACAAACATCCGGGGCCAAGTGGAACCTCTGAACCCCTGAGCCACCCCTTTTGAAGTGTCTTGGTTCAACCCAATTGGGGCCATAATAAGTCACCTATCCCCTTCAGCCCCAGGCCCACAGGCACCTACAAAGTACCCACTCAACGCTGATCCCGCCAGTCGCGCTTGCAACTCGCTGCACGAGAAATGCTGCGCGACCAGGTCAGTACTCACCTCAACAAAATGTGACAAGTTTCAAGTGACCAAAGGAGTATTGCCACATTTGGGAGTATTCAAACAAAAACCGTTTAAAACAAACAAATAGTACAGGCATGTACAAGTAAACATGCAAAGACTTGAGGCCTGTCATCGTATCCACCAGTTGAACCTATTTGACGATGAGTGGTGATTTAACCTGTCAAAGTGCTGATATCACCTTTCACTTCGGTATCCGTCGACAGGCCTCAAAAACTATATGTTGAACGTTTCGCCCACCATCCCCCAGGCCTCTGATACCAAGAACATAGGTCCTCGGGATAAGAAGCGCTGCTCCAAAGCTGGCAACAAACCTCCGGAGCATCGCCAGGGCTGAGCCCAAGTGGTGTATGTTGCCGAAGTCAGTTTCTTCTGACCAAGAATAGGAGCTAGTTTACGCATGTTTTTGGCCAGTTTTCCCTGGAGGATAACACGTTTTTGGATGGGAAGTTCGGAAGTTCATGGAAGTTCCCCAATTTTTGTGGAAACAACTACTTCAAAGAGGCAGCAAGTCCTGCCATCTTCCATGGGCAGCGGCCATGGGAGGGAATCTCAAGCTGCCTGCCTTGATAAAATCCGCGAAAACCTCTCTCTCTGAAGAGACTTCGCGCAGCATCCGGCAGTGAACCTGGGCGTATTGTGAAAATGCGCCCGCCACGCTCCAGAAATTTTGGATAGCCATCCTTTCTAGATCTACACTGAGCTTTCAAAGCATCTCAGATCTCAGATTACCTGAGGCGACAATTGAAAGAAGCATTGCTTGCTGCTGGGCACAGAAAGTGGCCTGCACTGATTGGTAAGCAACTTTGTTTACCTGCTTCATCACTTTGTCCCCTCAAACTCAACTCCAAACACAGTTCAGACTGTTGAATGTATCAACTGTTTTGGTATGCTCAACTGTTTTGGTATGCTACTATGGGTCCTCAACTCCCAAGTCTTCAGAAATACCAGCAATGCAGCTTCGCCCACAGCCCTTTGTTGTCGAGCATCCACTTCTTGTGGTGGTTTGCAAACCTCGTTGCTCAAGGAGATGATTATATGAGGCACCATACATAGAGGATCATACCATGGTGGCTAGAACCCTAAAAGCAGATAGAAAAGTGTTGCCAGGATGTTGTTGACGATGTTTAACCTCAGAAACTTCAGGTTTCCGATCTCTCTACAGTATCTATTTTATTCTATTTGGGGGTTACTTCAGTAAGGGACTAATCAGCCTACTGAAGGTGGTTTCAGAAGGTTTGACTCAAACTGCCAATTTGTTGCTCGATGACACCCTCACTTTTGCTGGCCTTTTGCCCCTCTGATTCTACTCTTGAAATCTTTGACATGAAAATCTCCCAGGCGCGCCATTTGTTCGTTGTTAACTCATATTTTTGAGTCTTGCCCTCTGGTAAATAAACATAGACCCTGAAAATCACTAATTTTTAATGGAAACTAGTCTTCCAACCCCTATCTGCCAGGGTCTATGTTTATTTACCAGAGGGTAAGTCTCCATGTTTACCACTTTTTCAGTGAAATCTCCCAATGCCGAGCGGCGGATCTTGAGCACATCCAAGGGATGCGCGCAGACTGTGCCCGGCACGGAACCCAAAGCGCCGATGGCACCTACACCAGGCCCACAGTGTGCATGGAGCGGAACCAATCAGGACTTCCCATGATTTCCCATGGATTTTTGGGCATCCAAAATCCATCCAAAATATCTTAAAATAAGGGATTTACCATGATGAAACCAGCAAATGTTCTGAGTAGGGTCGGATACTATCATGCATCGTCGTTCAGTGTTCTTGTCGTTCATCTCCGTCATTTATGATCATTTACCTTTCATTTACCATTCAACCACCACCCATCACCACCCCATTCCATTCATCTTTTTTCATTCATCATTGGTTTAACTAGGATTTGGCCCAGGTTTATCAGGATGTCATCCTCCTGTCAGGTTGATAAAAAAAAAAAACAGAGACTCACCCTGCTGCAGCGGTGCCGCCAAGCATGCCACCCCCAGCAGCGGTACCGCCGGCGGTACCGGCACCGCTGGTGCGGTGGATGTCACACACTCCATGGCGCTGCGATGGATCGGACTATGTCCAGAATTTCCATTCAGAACGGATATAGATATGAATCTTAATTATTGAATATTCATGAATATTCGATATTATAATGTAAAGTGTTCATTAGTTTTTATATGTATATATAATATGTATATATATATATATGTATGTATGTGGGTAGACTGATGGATGGATAGTAGGCCTGGAGCTCATCGGACTAGTTGGTCAGGAAATCCTCGACGCTTTCCATAAAAGAAGCGGCCAGTTGGGGAAGAATTTTCCGGGGTCGAAATCATATTTACATTTATATAGTATGTATTGGTATATAATGATACTAATGTGTTTATATAATATGATATTTTTATGACATTAATACATTTTAATATACGGTATATAATATGTTGAAATATTGGTACAGCAATGCTTGGATGCCCCCCAAAGTTTGAGACCTGATGCAACCCCAGGAACTTTGCATCTGGGCTTTGAGGAGGACATGGGGGGCCTTGTTGTCAACTGCCTCTGACGCGCATGGTGAGCCCAAAGACGCCGGTGCGTAATATGATCAAGGTGAATTTGGAATCCATGGACAGCCCCCTGCTAGTGTCAGAGTTGGCATTCGCATGTGAAACAAAAAAATCGCAGGAACCTTTGGAAAGAAGGAAGACCTTGGTTCACCTTGGTTCCTTCAGATTTTCTCGAGAAGCGGCCCGCATGATCTTGGGATACCATAGTCCAACGATCCGACTTCAAAGCATAGAGATTGCTACATCATTTTGGTACATCACGGGTATGTCGGTATGTCATCTGTTATCATGGTCGACTTTCATTTTAAAAAAAAACATCCCACGCTGCGACGTTTTTTTCCCTGTTGAAGTGATGAAGGATCACCAGCTGTGATCGGCCCCTCAGCATCTTGCTGAGGCTACAAGGGACGGCTGTCGCATTCGTGTCGGGCTGTAAAGAAGTCAGGGCCCAAAAAGGTGCTGGTCGTAGAAAATCTTTCTAGAGTGTGTGATCATGGAGATGATTATGGGCTGCTGCTAGTAGGTCAGTGCAAATTATGAACACCGTAAATCACCATAAAACCTCGAATAACATCAAACAACCATGGCAATCTAAAATCCCCATGTTCCTTTGGGGCAATTCGCTGTTTGAACGGGGACTGGAAAATGTCCACCGCATGAGATTCCACCGATCCAGTATCGCCGGCGCCACCATGGCCGCCTCAGAAGTCGCTAACGTCCGACTGTGCGTCATCCTCTTGCACCTGTGCCACCTGGGCACCATCTCTCCATAGTGATTTTTCATGGAATTTAATGGGGCCTAATGGTGGTAGAATAGGGGTTTTCATAGGATTCAATTTTGATGTGATATACTGTATATATATATAGATATGTGTGTGTGTGATGGCTACCCCCCGGCAATTTACCGGTTCGCTATGGGAAATGGCTTATTTAGTTCGATGATTTATCATTTCATTTCATTTCATGTCTTGCGCCCTGCATGCCCGTAATGGCACCTCGGCGCAAAGTTCTTTGTAATTTACAGAGCTAGTTTGGTGAAAAAGGTGTGTGAAAATAAGCAGAAAGCCAGAATCAAAAGGGCAAAGGGACAAGGATGGCAAACATCAAGATCTTCAGTGCAAAATCTCCACATCATCATCGGAATCGTCGGAAATAACAATAGCAGGAAGTGCTGGCATATTTCTCTGCTGTCTCCTCAAACGCTTACGGAAATACTTCTCAGCAGCTTTGGTCACTGACTTCAGCAATATGTTTTTCATACATTCCTTCCATATGTTCGGTATGCGGTCTTGCGTGCCCAACTCACTGCGGATGCTTTGTTGCACTGCCAAGGTGTTCTTCGCAACTAGTTTCCATGCCAGATTTTGCTGATTTGTTGACAAGTTGTTCAGAGAATTCAACATATTGAAGAGAGAGTTGTGCTGAATATGACGTAGTGAATCACCAGGGAAAAGAGATAGGATTTTTGCAAAAGAAAGTTGTCTCTGTTCTGCAGCTCTTACACAGGAAGACAGAGCATGTTGTTCCAGTTCGCAATCCTCTTAGATGACCAGTAGTCCTGACAACAGAAATCCGACTTGGCTGAGCTGACCAAAACTGTGTGAGATTGTCGATGGCCACATGTTTCGAACATTTGATGCCTGAAACATCTCCCAAAATGACGGGAGGGGCAACCCTCCATCCAAGCCCGGGCTTTGTTTTTTCATGGGGTTTTTTAGGGCTTAACTGTTAAATGATACTGGCATCCCTGGCATCAGCTGCTAATCCATCAACCCATCAGCTGCCAAGGTCTGTCCATCCACTTGGGGTCCCATGCCACGGAACGGCGCAACCTCAGAGCAGCCTGTCAGTTCTAGAAGCTTTTGTGGCGGGTGCTCACCAGATTTCACCCGATTGTCAGATTGATTTCAAATATCATAAATATCCAACATCATCATCCAACCTATTGGTATCTGATGGTATCTATCCAACATCCAACCCATATCTGCCATATCTGGGTCTGTTTTTGTAAAACATCGTGGATCTCACGGCCTCTGGTGACATCGCTGAGGCTTTGGCCTGGCGGCGATGTCAAGTGAAGGTCTGAAGGTCTGAAGGTATTGGTCTGAAAAGGGCCTCCGCCCTATGAAAACTGGATGGATTTATGAATTACCATCTGGTTATTTAACATAGCCATGGAAAATCAACATGTTTAATAGGTAAATCAACTAGAAATGGGCCATTTTCCATGGCTATGTTAAATAATCAGAAGGTATATTGAATGATTTTCCCACCTCAAACTCATCAAACTCCATTTTTTGGGGTATGCTGAATATGTTTCGACCCCATAAATGCCATCAAAGGATAGTAAAACACCTGAAGGTACAACACCTGAAGGTATAGGAAGGATCGAGGCCATCTATGAGATGATGGCTGGCACATCCAGGTGATTGGAAGGACGCACCCAAGGACCCAATGTTGGTTCCGAAAGGTTTCCCAATGTTCATGGCAAGGACTTCTCTCTGGTTTTTTCTTGGATCTTTCTTCATGCTTGCTGCTGATCCCCTCATTGTTAAAGAAACCTCCTGAAGTTGCAGGTGTCCATTCCCAGACATTCGAAACGCCTTGGGCGGTGGCGGAGGTGTGCGCACCGGCGCCTGCAAAAGGTCGGATTCCAAGGATTCCAAACCGAAGAACCGAAGAACCAAAGATTGGCTAAAACACTCAGCCTGAGGAATCCTGAGGAATACGAACGGCCATAGGGGGTGGAAGAGACACACCAAAAAAGCACTGCCTCACTGCTGTTTCATGGTGTCGTGCTGGAACTCAACATGGGACTGGAAATAGTTATCAAGAAACGTGCCAAGTTCTCTTTCATGACCACTATCACCAGTCTGCCTTTACACAAATCATTCCAGTTGAAAAACAATTCAAGTTGGGGACACCAGCCAGCATGGCAAACCCAAAACGATGGCCGTACCCCAAGTGCATATGTTTACCCGTTGGGGATTCTCAAAAACCATACCATCCATACCCGAAAAAGAAATGATCTGTGGGTTTGACCTTGGTACCCAATGATACCCTCTGGTAATTTAACGTAGCTATTGAAAATGGCCATAGAAATAGTGGATTTACCTATTGAAAATGGTGATTTTCCATAGTTTTTTGTATGTTTACCAGAGGTTATATCCCATTAAATCCCACTGTTCCACTGTTCAAAAATTGCCCAATCCCCTGGCGGCCTTGGGTGCGGTGCCCTCCTCGGCCGCTGCGAAAAGGCCGTGGTCAGCTTGAAAAAATGGAAAGCAAGCCTTAAAAGATCAAATAAAACCATGATATAAAATTATGGCTCACTAACATTTAAGCATATTTAAGCATATTTAAGTTATGGTTTGCCAGTTTCCAGCAGTTTCCAGCAGTAGAATCATTTAAAAAAGGGGCAAATCAGCTCCCCAGGCTCCGGACGATGGGCCCAGCCGGTGCGGCCGGTGCGGCCGGTGCAGCCGGTGCAGCTGCAGGCTCTTCCTGAGAAACGGACTGATTCCCAGTTTTGTTCAAAGATTGGTGGATGTTCCATACTTGGGGCCTTGAAGCCTTGAAGGTTGAAGACCAGTGATATAAGTGATATGTCCTCCAACTCAAACTGCTGGCCCATCCATTCTTCTCCCTGGCTGAATCCGAGCCACTGCCTTTGGCATTGCCTTGGGTTTCGCCTTTGGAGGTCCCCCTTTGGGCACGGCAGGAGCTTCTGTCGGCGCCTTCCAAGGGACAAGGGACCAATGGGGACCAACGAACTGGTCCTCTCTACATCCCCCCAATCCGAAACCCTTGGGCTATCCGAAATCGTAAACCAATAGGAAGATCATCAGTGATCATCCAAGGATTCCTTCCATTTGGATCTTTTTTTTTGGGAGCAAGTTTTGTCAGCTTCGCCTTCGGCTCTCCTGGCTCCGACCCCTGCAAGGTCCAGCTGGGGCCGACTTTGAGATGGTCCCGGGGATGTTCATCAAATTTCTGAAACAATCTGTGTATTGCATGATTTTTGAAATGTTGAAACGAGAGGAAATCCGTATTCTGTGAGTCTCGGTGACCTGTTCTCTTTTCAACTCCTAAAAAAAGAGCAGAACATTGACAAGCCGTCGCTTTGTGAGACCCATTTTCCCATTCCATGCAGCTGATCGGCGTACCTCCAAAGGCAAAAATCCCTTTAAAAAAATAAACATGTCTGAAGGTGAAACTGAAACACTCCCATTTCTGAGCCATACTGCCTGCTCAGAGAAACATAGACATATGAATCATATGAACATACAATAAAATATATAAACTGGCATGCTAATTATACCATTAACATTCATTATCATTCATGATCTATAATGTCAACCCCGGATTAATAAACCCCTAGATTGTTTAATTGGGAGGGTACCATTTAAGTATCATATTATGACTATTGGAAGGGTACCCCCCTAATTAATAAGCCAGGGTTTATTAATCCGGGGTTGACATTATATATATATATCTATCTATCTATCTATCTATCTATCTATCTATCTATCTATCTATCTATCTATCTCCCTCTGTCGGGATAGGTGCCTCCACTTTGGCCGCCACGCGGCTCATGCGTCGTTGCGCCATGGCCGCGGCCTCGGAGTCAAAAGGGATCTAAGAATCAGAACGTAACTAGTAAGGATTAACTAAGGACTATATAAATTAATATAAATATTATATATAAATGATATAGCCATTAAGAGACTTCGACTTTACAAAAAGAGAGAGAGAGAGTTTAACATAGTTTCACCGAAAAGATTGGGATTGAAGTGGTCATAGCCATGGGAATCAAACTCGGTTTACTGGCAATGTCCCAGCTGTGTTGGGCAAATCGATGTAAATCGCCTCCACGCATGTCTGGGGTATTTTCCAGCCAGCCATGTTCCTTTACCATCCTTTACAAAAGGATCAACCATCATCAAGCACACGGTTGGTCCCCTTCACACTGATGAACTTCAAGCATCAGCTGACCAACTGTGACCCTGAACACTCCACCTTTTTTCCAACCAACGCCAAGATACCGCTGCTGCAAGGTTGATTGGACCACCACCACCTTGGGATATGAATGGATCCTGGTGGGACTAGCTATGGGATGATCCAAAGGGAAGGTCTTCCTTTAAGGTTTCAAGATCCTGAGTAGCATAAATAGCCCGTTCTGATCCATGCTCACAACACTGGCCTCATGTGCAAACCATGCCTGGAGCCGGAAGTTCTGCTGGCGCCGGGGATGGTTCCTGCGATCTCCAGTAGCGATCCAAACAGCATCAACAGTGTTTAGAGGCTAGCGGGTAGCTAAACGACAACCCAACAGTGAAACAGCGCCCAGCTACTCGGTTTCTTTTGTTCACAGGGTCAGTTTAAGGGGAATCTTATGAACCTAGAGTGGTTACCAGGAAACATAAGAGGCTCCCGTAGGCTTTCCCTCATCCAGTTGTCCATCTCCAGGGCGTGATCACCAGAGACTGAAAAGTATCTCAAGCTGTTGCGACTCAATCCGAGTCAAAACTTCTGGAAACTAGGAACCAATTGTGGGATTTGCGGAAGAGGTAAGAAACTTTGATGAACCTGCCTCTTCAGGTGCTGCTGGCGCCGGTGGTGGTGGCTCCTCAATTGCCTCAGTTGAAGAGGCTATGGGTGGTTTCAACAATGCTGACCGCGTTCCTATCGACGGCTGAAGGAAATCCTCTTAGATTAGCTAAACAAATTCAAAGTTCCTTGAAACTTGCAAGTTGATCTTGCACTTAAAAGGTGATCGCACCTGGCAGGGTTGTCTCAAAACATCGTATATAGCCCCCTGGTCACCTAACGTGGCAATGTAAAAGTACTACAATAGGTGTTCCTCTTAAACACAGACATGTTGGATTATCCTAGACCACCAAAACTGATGGAGATTCATACTGTCCAACCATCCATCCATCTATTTTTGCAGGATTTTCCCACGAATTCCTTGGGTTCCCCGGCCACCTCCTTCGGTTTCGGCGCTGGCGCTGGCGCCGTTTTGGGCGCTGGCGCGCCGGCACCCGTGCCGGCGGCACCGTCGAAGGTGTCTAGGACGGCCACATCTAGGGTTGGGTCCTCAAGTCACCAGTTTGGGCAAGAAATTCCGCTCTAGCTGGAAACCAGATTGGGTGATTGGGGGTGCTTTGACACCCGGATGTGAGCTGCTGTCGCGAGTTGCATGTTTTTGATAGTTTTGTCTGAGTGCCTGTAAGGCTTTAAATAGCAGTGGGAGAGGGAAAAAAAAGAGAATCCCCATTAATCCCGTATAGATGGTCCCAAATAATGTGTCAATTGCGTACTAAACCCTGGTTTCTGCGGGTGTTTATTAGATATATTAGGCGAAAGGGATTAAACCATCCCCAAATGGGATGGTGCTTATGGCAGGTAAATTTGGGTAAATCCTCATGACATGAGATTGGATTCTGATGCCAAAAATCAGTCCTTCACTTTTTCTGGGTGAGTTGCAAAATTATAGATTATAGGTTGGCAATTTTGTTGCTTCACCGAGAAAAGGGAAGTGTTTATCCAACATGTCTCGTTTTACCGTAAAAAAAAATGTGATTTTGTCAACTAAAAGATCGGTTTATCCAAAGAAGCAACGCCATGTCTAGTATGAAATTCCTCGCGATGGGACCCCACAATGAAAAGATCTCGTACTACCCTATGTTTTTCTAAATTGTTGGTTTTCTTTGATATGGGAAAGGATTTGAGTCAGTAGGCCTCCCAAGCAATGAGTCCTGCAAGGCATCTAAGAGCAGCTTCTGTCGAATGGCAAGCAGCGGCCTTGGGCCCGAGGCTTCTTGGCAGATTCTGCAAATGTGATATCATCCACCCCAAAATGATGCCACCCCTCTCTGACCCTGGAAATCATGAGTTCTTTTGGGGCATTTGCAGCCTGAATATTCACAATAAGTTGCAATTCACTGGCGCCATTAACATATTGTATGAACTTGCCTACCCACAACAGCCACAAGTCACCAAGCACGAAGAACATCAAAGAATGCGTCCCTGCAAGCGCATTCCCCCGTAGCCCTTGAAAGGAGCCTGATTGCCAGTTTTTCCATTAAAAAGTCTTATGACCTGCTTGAAAAGCTTTGAATAATTCACCTCCCAAATCTGGAGGTCTGGATGCAACCAGCTATTCCAACTAAGGCCCTGACACGCCCGTTCGATGCATTCGCCGGTACACCGCATATTTCTGGCGGCATGTGCCAGCGGGTTGATTTACGGTCCGTACACCGATTTTTTAAGTCCAACTTGAGCTGGTTCCGCGTTCAAAAAAGTGATCCTGCACCCCAAAGATATATAAAGATCCTACATGATGAGAAGGCCTGGAAGAACCTTTACCCCAAAAAGATGGTAGGCTAACCCCACGAAACAATATATATATATACACCGTAGTTATGCCTTTTTGCAGCCTCCTCCTGCGCAACCATATCACTATAAGCACTGCCCACCGTCACATGAGTACCTCGTCCTCTTGAGGTGGCGCAGCCTGCAGATTGCTGGGGTCCCATAGAAAAACCATCCTTTTTTTCCTCATGATTTGTCAAATTCCGATGCAAAATCATCGGAACTTATTCGTATTGGATGCAACCTCCGAGCCTGTGGCAAGGTGAGGTGATGTTCGTGACTCAAGAGCAGCGTCATTGGCACCATCTCGAGAGGGGATTCAAAAAAAAACACTGAAGTACCTACACGAGAAGTGGTTTCAACTTCCAGACTCCACTTCACCCGGGCCCAGGTTCTTACCTCTAATTCAATGCGGAGAACCCATGTTTTTTGCGGCCTGTACCTCTGGAGGAGCTTCATGACCTGCCGGCTCCTCCAAGGCGTCACCCACAAATCTGCGACCGAAAAGGTCAAAATTCAAGCCATGAATCTTCATTCTTCAAGCCTCGGACATCCAAATTACTTCAATCTGGATTCATTTGCCAGGTTCATATCGTTCGCATCATCTTTCAGCATCTTTCCCCACGAAAAATCTACGGGTGACTCCTGCGGACCCTCGCTGGACCGCGCGACGCTTGGTGCGGACACCGGCTCCGCGGCGACGGGGCCCAGGCCTGGGACTTAGATTGTGAAGAAATGAAGCGCCTTCTGGATTCCACTGCCAGGTTTCACGTCCAAATTCCTGGATATTATGTGTATGGGTGGGTGTGCGTATGTATGTATGTATGTATGTATGTATGTAAATATATATATATGTGTGTGTGTATGTATGTATGTATGCACGTACGAACGTATGTATGTATGTAAATGTAAAAGTATATATTTATGTATGTATGTATGCATGCATGCATGTATGTACGTACGTACGTATGTATGCATGTATGTAAATATGTATGTATGTATGTATGTATGTATGTATGTATGTATGTACGTACGTATGTATGTATGTATGTAAGTAGGCAGGTAGGTAGGTAGGTATGTATGTATGAATATGTATATATGTAACTATGTATGTATGTATGCATGTATGTATGTACGTACGTACGTATGTATGTATGTAAATGTAAAAGTATATATTTATGTATGTATGTATGCATGCATGTACGTACGTACGTATGTATGCATGTATGTAAATATGTATGTATGTATGTATGTATGTATGTATGTATGTATGTATGTATAAATGTATGTATGTAAATGTATCTGTACATGTATATATGTATATGTATATGTATATGTATACCTATATGTATATGGATATGTACATGCATATGTATATGTATATGTGTATGCATGCATGTAGGTAGATATATTTACATGTATGTATCTATGTATGTATGTGTATATATATATAGATGTATGTATGTATGTATGTATGTATGTATGTATGTATGTATGTATGTATGTATGTATGTATGGGTATGTATGTATGTATGTGTATGTATGTATGTATGTATGTATGTATGTATGTATGTATGTATGCATGCATGTATGTATGTATGTGTATGTATGTATGTATGTATGCATGTATGTATGTATGCATGTATATATGTATGCTCATGTTTGTATGTTCATGTATGTATGTTCGTGTATGTATGTTAATATATGCATGTTAATGTATGTGTGTTATTGTATCCATATATATATATTTATATTTATTGGTGTATGTATGTATGTATGTACGTATGTATGTATGTATGTTAATGTATGTATGTTAATGTATGTATGTTAATGTATGTATGTTAATGTATGTACATTAATGTATGTACGTTAATGTATGTATGTTAATGTATGTATGTATGTTTGTATGTATGCATGTATGTATGTATGTATGTGTATGTATGTATGTGTATGTATGTATGTATGTATGTTTGTATGTATGTATCTATGTATCTATGTATCTATGTATCTATGTATGTATGTATGTATCTATGTATCTATGTATGTAGGTATGTATATATGTATATATGTATTTTTGTTTGTTTGTATAAAACGTACACATAGTGTCTTTTTCATGATGAGGTTGTGTCTTTTTTCTTTGGCCAGTAATCAAGAATGAACTTCCCGGATGGTTTGACCCCACATTTCTGGAAAATGGGAAAGCTCGTCTAGCCGCATATTATAAATCCGATTGGGGGAAAGAAAGGACCCTGATGTCCACCCTTGAAATCACAGCCTGGAAACCCAACAAATCTCAAGACCATCTTCCAGCGCAACAATTCCACAATTCCCAGGGGGTCCATTCAAGTGCATATATACTATATATGTATATAGCGAATAATTTATTATATGTTTATGGTGCCGGGCATCTGAGACGCTCGCGACTGTTGTCATTTTTTGCATTCTACTATGAAAGGTGGGGTGGGGTGGGATAGTAACGTCATTTACACTTCCACACATATGTGCTCCAACATATCTGTACGCTCTCTTGCATTTCATTCACATCCACACATACGCCATGCTACGCTGTAGGTTCTTTTGCGCTTCCACACATACATCATGTCATGCTACGCTGCTGTAGATTCTCTTGCGTTTCCACACATACGTCATGCTATGCTGTAGGTACTCTTGCACTTCTACACATGCGTCATGCTATGCTGCTGTAGGTTCTCTTGCACTTCTACACATACGTCATGCGACGCTGTAGCTACCCTTGCACTTCCACACATGTGTCATGCTACGCTGCTGTAGGTTCTCTTACACTTCCACACATACGTCACGCTACGCTGTAGGTACTCTTGCACTTCTACACATGCGTCATTCTACGCTGCTGTATGTTCTCACCGTATGATGATGATGATGATGATGATGATGATGATGACGATGATGATGATGATGATGATATTGCTGACGATACTAAAGTTTTTGTTTTTGAGCCTTTTCAATTCCCCCCTAGAAAATGTTTGAAAAGTGACGACAGTCGCGAGCCTCTCAGATGCCCAGCACCATGTTTATTATACTAAATATATGTAATTTGTTTGTTTTATAAAACGTACTATTATATATATATGTGTGTGTGTGCGCGTTATATATTTTAAAAATGTATTTACTGTATTATATATATTATGGATATGATCTGCGCTTGTGCATGTATACATATATGTTCTTATGTTCTTTATCTATTCAAGCTATGAATCTATCGTGTATATATATATATGTGTGTGTGTGAATTATATGCTATGATTCAATTTAAAAAAAAAATATCATTCAATGGATACCCGATAGTAGATAATAGGTGATAACAAATGATATTAAATAATAATAGATATGTTCGTATATATTTAAAAATAATAATTATCATCTATTTAATCTTTATATGTCATTAAATATCATTGTATATCTATATATCAGTTCTAATCCCTTCCTTCCAATATTAAACACCCCCTAAACGAAACCATGGTTTAGGGAAATTCCACTTAATTGGGACCATTTATGGGGTGTTTAATATTAGGGTCATGGGATTCTATCTATCGCCCTGGGCCCCGACTGACGCCGCTGGGTGCGGCATCCAGGTGCTGCACCTTGCGTTCGAAGAGGGCCACCAGCCTCGGGGCCGGGGAAATGGTGGAAAAATTGGCCTTTCAAGGGGGGATTCATCTGGTTCAACCTGGTAAAAAAGCTGGCGTAATATGGTAATCTGAATATAATGGATATATATATATATATATATTTATTTATATATGTGTGTCTGTATGTATGTATGTATGCATGGATGTATGCATGTATGTATGTATGTATGTATGTATGTATGTATGTATGTATGCATGTATGTAACATGTTGTTATATGAATTAACCATCAAGAATAGGGATTTTTCATTGCGATGATTCAATGCGACTCAATGGGATATAATGGGTGATATATATATATATATATATGTGTGTGTGTGCGTGTAGCAACCATATAATATGGAGTTGTCTAAAAATTGGATCTGCAGCTACACCTCTGAAATCAAACATTTGAACAGGAGAAATGATTATAGACCGATAAACCGTATGATTTCAGGTGCCCTATTTTCAGACACACCGAGACTGCGAAAGGATGCCAAATTCTGGGATTTTGGGACACCTTAAACCTTGGACTCTATGGAGCAGATCTTACTTTCTGGTAATGTGTTTAACATAGCTATGGAAAATCGGAAAATCACAATGCTTAAAAGGTAAATCATCTAAAAATGAACAATTTCCGTAGCTATGTTCAATTGCATAGCTAGGGCCCCTAGGGTACATTCTCACTGCTTCAAAAAAAACAATTGTCCATTCTGAGGATGTGATCTCCGGCGCCAAGGCTGCAAGCACCACTTTTCCGTGGCTCAGCTCATGAATTGCTGCTGTAGCTCCCGCACTCGGCGCCTTTGTTCCGCCTTCCCAGGTGGGGACGGATACGACTCAAGGATGGGAATTGGATTTGAACATAAAGGTAGGAGGATTTAAGAGGACTTAAGAGGATCTATCTGAATCTATCTATCTGTCTATTGTCTAGCTAATCTAATCTAATCTACCATCCTGTCCTATCCTATCCTATCCATCTATATGTCCCCTATACTATGATTGGGTAAAACCATCATGATGAAAAAAGTAGTGATTATTGACCACTTACTAGCTGCTAGGTTGAGTGCATCCAAAAGTGGGCCTCCAGCAGGTTCCTTTTAACAGGTCAAGTCAGTGGGTCACGAATGGAATGTAAAAAGGTCGGCTGCCTCAATGAATGGCTTGGTCACGCTGAGTCTCAAGTACTTTTGCATTCTTGCTTTGGGTGCCTTTCCCTCTGCCAACTGGGCAACTTTTTTGGGCCAAAGTCCTTAAGGAGACGTGCAAGGCCTGCATTCACACTATAGGTGTGTACGTGTGAACCGTGGTCAGTGCCGAGTTTGGTCAACTTTCTGAGCAACAAATGGGTTTGTCTGAAAATGGTGGATACACCCCTAATATCCCCTAATGGCCCACATCTATGTCAACTCGGCACTAGCTCAATCAAACTGCCCAAGCTGCAAACAGTGCGCAGAATCGAAGAGGGTGACCTCAAAGGATTTAGGGCAAGACCAGCCTCCGGGCCCATGTTGATCAGCATCTTACCTCAAAACTTGCCATTTTCTATGGGGGTTAGCCATGGGTCGCCCCAGATTTTGGGCCCATTTCAAACCCCACATCCTTGGGTCCCGTTGCATTACTTTTCCTCAAGCACTGCGTCGAAAAAAACGCCTAAGGCGTTGTCCGGGACGCCGCAATATGGCCACCCCCCAGGGCGGACTCCGAGAGTGGTCCGCGACCACTTTCTGTTGCGATGTCATGGTCAAGTTTGGGCGTTGAGATCATTCGGAACCATTGCCATTGACCACTTATCTCCAATTCTCATGCTGATTCATCTGATTCATAGTGGTAAGTCGTGATAAATCGTATGTTATGGATCTGCTCGTTAATATCAATTCAGACTCTGTGACCCCTTGGGGCCTTTGGGTATGGCACATTCAGGCCATTGCTCAAGTGGATCGTTTATCCAGGGTCTTTCTTGGGAGAGACTAGGTTAATTCGTTGGTATTTTTTGGGACCACCGAGGTCACCTGTCAATCAACCATTGGCAGACACCAACGTCCGTCCTGGGGAGCAACCATATCCTTCAAAACGGTGACTCGTTTTGCTTATCGAAGGCAAAATCAACGGTGAGGTGCCCCAAGCATTCCCATCGCATTCCCGTGGTAACCACGAATCCAAATTGTCACAACACTTCGCATCAAGGACCTCGAAAAATTCTTGAATCCAATCAGCCCCTGAAACCTTGGATACCTTAGATACCTTAGATACCTTGGTACGGTGTTGTTCCCCTCACATCACCTGGGAACGCCAGTGGAGCCGGCGCTTGTTCCACCGCCAGCGGCTCAAAAGCCGTAGTGCAGCACGGTCAGCTCGAGCGTCTCCGCAGCATCCTGCGGATCAAAGCCCAATGAGAGAAACAAAACTGTTTTAAAAAGTAACCCATGTGGAAATGAATCCCAAATACCCTCAGCAGATTCCTAGAATGTTGCGAATTTGTCTCAAGGCTGGGAATAGAACAGCCCCACCATCAACGCACCTTGATTCCAGCCATCAACTCCTGTTGCAACGAGTGGGCAGCAGTGGTGCAGGAAGCACCATGGTGTGGGTGCCAGAGGGGCCCAAAAAGAGGGCAGCAACAAACAGCAATGGATGTTGAGGATGCTGCCTGTCCAATTCCATCCAAAACGACGACGTCGAAATTCGATCAGTTTGCGCAAATTGCTTGGGAAAGTCATCACAAAAGTTTGGTTGTTAACCACCTAAGTCTTGGATGATTACTTCAACCCACATTTCGATGTTGTTGATGAATTTCCCAATTTTCCCCTAGTTTTGTTGCTGATAATTAGCTTTCATGACCCAAGACCCCCCAAAATGATATCCCCACATGTTTGATGGCAAGAACCCCAATAAATGATGATTGGCTCCTCATATTTCATCACTCAACACCACAATTTCACATCATTTCCTTCATGATATCCCCACATTTTTCTCCCCATGTCTGGCTTCAAAAAGCCTCAAAAATCCATCATGTCCGGATGATCTTCCTATATTTTCTGTGGATTACATCCCATTTTTTCGGGATAAACCCACCCCAAAGCCACCCCACAAAGCCCATTTCATCCCCCACAACAAACGCGCCACAACACAAAAGCGCTCCTCCGGCGTGCCGCTGGCGCCGTTCACGGCGCGGATGCGGTCATGGATGCCTACGGCCTGTTCAGGCGTGTCCTCGTTCCACCTCCGCCATGGGATCCATGGGATCCATGGGATCCATGGGATGGGAGGATGGGGGTGCCGGATGGGGGTGCCATGTAGCCATGTTGGAATGGCAATGGAATGCCTTGTTTTTTTTGGTACATGAGAGATAACTTGATGGGTTTGGATGGCTTTGGATGGATTTCGGTAAATGATATAACTGACATCACTGGGGTCATTTATGGTAGATATCTTAAAGTAGTTAAAGGCCGTAAACCAAGAAATAACTGGAAGGAATCATCTACGCATGGAGGATGGTTCCATCTAAATCTAATACACGTTTGGACCAAACATCCATGTGGGATGCTGCCACTCACACCAGCATCTACATTCACCAGCGCACATCATTCTCCCATGGATCACAGGATTACCATGGTCCTAGAAATCCCAATTAACGAATGGAGGCATCGCGATGGACATAGTGGCTAAGAGATCTAAAAGCTGAAGTTCGCGAATGGTTCATCCACAATTCATGTCTCACTTTCTGAATTCATTGATCACTTTTCGACTCGATTTAGAAGCCCTGGCCCCATCCCACGGTTTGGGTCATGCGCCTGGTCAAGAGTCCAGCACTGATCTTGGTGATCCATGGGGCTTTTGATCCCAACTTCTTGTAGTTCAACACCTGGGCGCGATGGTCATTGGTGCCAAGGTGCCCTTCGTTGGTAGCTTCCACAAATGGCAACCAAGTGGGAATAAACCACTTCAAATAGCTTCCAGAATAAAAACACCAAGTGGGAACCCGGACCAATTCCACCAAAAATATCCAAAAATACCCCACCTCCCAGCCAAAATGATGCATCATTCCCCACAACCCAGCTGGCGCACCACTCCAATTTCACCGGGGCGTTGCAACGTCACCACCTCAGGACATGTTCAATGCTTGGGTTCCGCATCTGGCAGTTTTGGGAGACCATCTTAGGATTTTCCACCCTTCAACTGGTGAGCTCATATGGTTTCAGTTGAAATGGCATTCCAAATCCAACTAATCTGGGAAACCCAATGCCACAAACCATCCCCAAGTCATCACCATTCTTATAGGTGGGATAATCATTACATCCTTACCCTCCCCAGTCATGGTAGCTTTGTGGCTTTCCAAGCGGCTCGTTGCTCAGGTCGCTGCAGGGACAGCACCATTGGTCCCTCAGTTCCTTAGGACATCTACCCATTCGGAGCACTTTTTTCAAGGCTGGTACCTAGGTACCTGTTTTTGGTTGGTTGACACACCAAACTAGACCATTGTCGCATGATATAAACTATATAAACTGATATAATAATGTATATCATGTACCCATTGATGATATAATGATCAAATTAGACCATCAAATGATATAATGGCCTTCTTGGCCTTTTGTCTAGGGTACCCATTTGATCCCTCTTTGCTGGTCGTTATCCACGTATCGCATGATTTTTGCCTAGCACCACCATGTTGAAACTCTCAGTTTCGAATGTACCATCCCATCTTCCAAATATTGAATACCCCCCAATCAGAACCCTGGTTTGATAATCTTTCGATTTATTTTGGGAACCCAATTGAGCTTCTGGTATTGAACCTGTCACAACCTGTCTCAACCTGGCAATGAGTCTAATATGCACAGTTAGCATATCCCCCCGTCGCTAACTGAGCGGTGCGACAGCAGAATATCATGCACCATTTCCGTTGGTGAAATCCACCACTTGCTGGTTGCGAAATCCACCCGAAATCCACGGTCAGCTCCATTCTTGTTGGTTCAAATCCCTATTTCCCATGGTCAAATACACTAGATCACCATTTCCCATAGTCAAATCCCTTGTTTTGATCAGAAACTCGCCATTTTTCATGCTCAACTCCCAATTTGGTATCATTGAATCCCAATTTTCCATGGTCGAATCCAACTTTTTCGATGACAAAATCCCGTTTCTCATGGGCAAATCCCAGTATTGGATCACTCAATCACTAAATCTCCATTTCTTGTGATCAAATCCTATGTGTGGATCATTGAATCCCCATGAAATCCACATTTTTCCACCCATGTTGGATCACTAAAATCCCCATCTCAGCAGGGGCTCCGCTGCCTAAAGCCTTCGCTAACTCCACACTGCTGCCGCGCACACCGTTCACCTCCAAAATGCGGTCGAACTCCTGGATGATGGGGATAAGCTTCGATCGGGGATATTAGATCGTAGATACTAATTATATAGATATTAGAAATATTAGATATTAAATATTAATAGATATTAGATACTAGATAATCTAGATATTAACTCCGATAGATGTAGATACTTGATATTGACTCTGATTTTTGCATGATGTTGGATGGTTTTAGATGGTTGGAAATGGCAGTTGTTTAATGAACTGACCCTGTCAAACTTAGGATTTTGCGAAACCGTTTGCTGATCTGCTGTTAGATGCGTATAGAATTGAATAGATAGACCTCCAGATTGTCAGCCTGAAAAGGTTTGGTGCATCTCTTGAGATTCGCATTTCTGTTATTGCGTCTTAGGGGCCCCAGTTGCTGGAAGCAATGGCCAGGGACCAGCCAATCTTACTAAGGAGTTAGTTTAGCATGTTCACTTTGAGATACCAAACTCCAGAAGTTGCGCTGCTAACTCTTGAAAACGGGATTTTATACAACACTTTCAGAAAATGGTCCAGCAAATGACTAGATACCGTCTTCTGAAGATGTTGACACTTGGCTCAGCAAATGGCAAAACACTTGGTGACTCTTGAACCAAACTGTTCTGATGTGGTGTTCCAACTTGCTCCACGGGCGTTGTGATTCTAGTCCCTCCAGGATCATCCCACTTAGCAATTGCTTAGTATCCATGATAACTAAACCCTCTATGATCAGCAACTTGTAGTAGGTTATTAGGTTGAGTCCCCAGTGCCTGGGGTTGTCCCATTTTTCGCTGTCCCTAAGGGCGCGCTCCTTGACGTTCTTTCCCTCGGGACACGTGGAGTTCCAATCGCTGACTGTACCCTCGCGAATGTTCTTCACGATGGTGCATTCTGGATCCTGGGTGATGGAGTGATGGGGTCACCCCTGACATTGCGGAACATTCCCAGAGCAAGATCACCTTCCAACCTGGGTTTCTAAGCTTTCGGATGTCAGGAACGGTAAAGCCTCAAGGAGTGTTTTCCGCTCCAAGCAACGGTGACGTCGATGACAATGCCGTGCATGCCGTCTTTCAAGCGAACCTCAAAGACATCCTCAGGGCCAAGATTAGCAGCGGAACTGCTGCATGACACGGTCATGTAACGCAAGAGCAACCGTGAAGACGATGGAGATCCCAGTGGAAAAGGATGTGTCTATTGTGGCTTACTACATGGTTCTTAAGGGTAGCTGGCTTACAACCTGCGTTATCTTATCCACACCTATATCTATCCGTGTACAAAGCCTATGCATTAACCATGGGATTTTAGGGTACCACACCCAGCGATACCAGACAAACCCACATGGATAGATACAGTCATCCTGGAGTAGATAGAATATTTCCATGTTTCTATCTACTTCAGGATAGTTGCATCCATGTAAAAAATCATTGTATATATATATATACATATAACAGTACATCTATTTATTCATTCATTGATTCTATTTATTTTGTAATTGTACATCCCATATATAACCCAGATCTCCAGTACCAGCACATGCCCCGAACCCTTCGGACCCTTCGTACCCTTTGTCATATCCCGGTGGCGGCGATAAATTCGCTGGTCATGGCGGGCGCCGTCTTAACCAACGTGGCGGTCTCTCGTAGCTTCTCCTGGAACGCACGGTCGGGGTGTTGTGTCGAAAAATGTGACCACCTACGGTGAATATGGCATGGTTATTTATATATCAACATGCTCCCAAAGAAAAAAACATGTGATATAACCATGTGAAAATTATTAATGAATGAGATCGTATGATAAGCAAGATGTCATCCATATGTGAATACGGTTAATCTGATTGCTTTGGACTAGTAGTTAATATGATGAAATTAAATGTGATTAATATAGTTGATGGTTGTATCATTTAATATACCCTAGGGTAGACTAACATAGATGTGAAAAATCACAATTTTTATGAGTTTATGATTTTTAACAAAACATCCATAAATGGGCAATGTTCAACATCTATGTGAGTTTCCCATAGGACCATAGGGTCTTTCAAAATGGTGCAGGGATTTCTCCTCGGTGTCTCCATATTTCACCTCCGTAGCATTTGGAGGCTCAGCGGCGCAGCAGCAGAACATCGGATGCCTTGGGGGCTCCGAAAATCTTGGGATGCTGCAGCTACCCTACCGAAAATCTTGGGAAAGACTACCTGGGAGATTTGGGAGTTTTGGAGAACAGGTGTATGACAGGAAACTTCTGCACTTGCATTCGGAAACTGATATTCCTGTGAATTAGTTTCTGAATCCGACTTCGTTTCTGAATCGGAAATCTTCAGTTTCTGAATCCGAAAGAATTAGTTTCTGGATCCGAAAACATTGGTTTCCGAATCATTAGTTTCTGAATCGGATTAGTTGCCGAATCCGACCACATTTGTTGCTGAATCCGACCATATTCGTTGCTGAATCCGACCGGATAAGTTGATGAATCATTAGTTGCTGAATCCACATAAGTTGCTGAATCCGAGTTTGTTCGAGTTGGGAGTCTTCCAGGGTGACTAAGCACTTGACCACTGGTGACCCAGGTGATGGGGGAAATGGTGTTGCTGCGTTGTCAGCTTGGGACACCTGAGCCATCCCGGGTAGCCGAGTGGCACAGGCGACCGAAGAGTAAAAACGTACGGGGTTCACGCGTCTGCGTGAAGCCAAGATAGCTGCGGCATCTGAAGTTCAACCATTTTTCTGCAGAGCTAGATGTCATATCATATATCATTGAAACCACCAAGCATTTACGATTAAGGGTCAGTCGACCCACATCGTCCAAGATCCTTTTCTTCCACGGTGTTACCAGCCATCCAAATCAAGGCCAGCAAGTTGGCGCTGCAGTTGGGAATCAAACACGGCTGGGAAACCCCCCGAAAATGGAAGCTTTCACTGGGAAAATCATGGAAAATGAGGGGATTGTCCAGCCAGCCATGTTTGATTACCGGAGGGTAATAAATTTGGGTCACATCTTTACCTGGCTTAGCTTCCCAGAAAAGACCCAGGGGACCCAGGCACCTGTCGCGCTTCCTTAGGCCGAAACTTGGCAGGACGAAACAACGCGGACTGGAATTCATACCGACCAATCCAAACAAGCAAAACGACTTATCTCCATGCAATGCCTGGACCACCTAGTAACGTTCCACTTTGCTCTAGGCATCTCTAGGCCATTCCTATGTGACGTCACAGCGGGGTGATTTCAATGACTCCTCCGAGCTTCTAAAATGAAGCAGCAACAGCTTCAAGTGGAGATTAAGTAGATGCCACATATGCCACCCATTTTCCCCACAGTCATCCCCAGATCCAAGTTGGTCTTCAATGCAGCTTGGCGGTGCATCCAACAACTATCAAGCTGAAACTCTGAAACTCCCATCAACAGGTGACCCATGGTGACCGACCTGTTGAGTTGCTCTTGGTAATGCTCCAGGCCCCTGTTATCAGCTGCAAATGTTGGCCATCTTTGGACAGAAACCACCCAAGTGCCATGCCAAGCCGCTACGGCCAATCTCCGGTTTCTGGCTTTCTGGAGCTGGGTCTCCGCCTCGCTTTGCCTCAAAAAAAAGGTTTGGCGTTGAAAAATCCATGGGTTTTGCCATCGAGAACTGGGATTCAACGATGGTAACTATCAACTGTAATAGTGGTGGATGATGATCGTATATGATCACTGTGAAACTACAAACATGTTGGAATTGACTGTGCTTCAGTGGGCAAAGCTGGCAAGCGAAATTCGCAATCTTTGATATGGTTACAGTTTACAGTACTTGTTTTAGACATGGTGGATTTTCCATTGTCACATTTGCTTAGCAAAGGGCGCATGGTTTTGCGGCGCATTTCTCTCAGCCAGTTCACCGGGTCCAATTAGTCGTGAGATGTGACCAACTAGCCATTTTTTGGGGGCTGATGTGGCTGGAAGCCACATCCGAAGTTCCATGTCATTTTTCTATATTTTTTATATATTTTTTAGCCATCATCCAATCTTCCTACCATTTGGACTCTAACACCATTCCATTCATTCACCAACCCAACCCACATCATATACATCATTGATGGTTGAATCGCTTTCAGACTGATGTCTGCCCCAAAACTGAGGGGGGTGTCAGGCAAGGGGGCGGGCACCGCCAGTACCCGACAGTTTTACAACGAATATCAGTGTCAAAAGCAAAGAAAGATGGAAAAAAAGGCAAAAGAACACATGACCTATTGGTATCCTGTTGGCATAAAATGGCACAAAACACGGCAAAACGTGGTAAAACGAGGTAAAACGAGGTAACATGACGTCCTGTCGCTACTGCCAGCCCCATGTTTCCCTGCCTGGACTGCAGGTGTTGCAGCCGCTCCAGCAACTCGGCACGCTCCGTCTGCCAGCCGTCCTCCTCCTGGGCAGCTGCCACCTGCCAAGGCCGTTGTCATTGGTGCCAGCTGCTAGATTTATTGATTGATTGATTGATTGATTGATAGATAGATGCATTATATTATACATGTAGAATACATGTAGGACATTGCAATTCTAGTTCTTTATGGATGCCCCTTGCCATCACCCCCAAACCTGCAGGCGTTGCATCTCCTTCCGATCCGTCGTCAGCTGCGTCTCGGCGCTCTCGCGCTGGGAGTGCTGCAGCTCCAGCCGTTGCTGGACCTTCGTCTGCTGCGTCACGTCCTGCCAACCTCGAGCTGCGGATGGGAGGAGGATCCCAGAAATTGGGAAAATCGTGGTTTTACCAACGAAAATAATGGAAACTATGAATTTCACCAACAGGAATGAGAAAAATCAGGAACATCCCCCCAAATATGAATCATACACCCTATCTATCTATCTATCTATCTGTCTGTCTGTCTATCTATCTGTCTTACCTTATCTTACCTTACCCTACCCTACCATATCCTATCCTACCCTATCCTATCCTATCCTATCCATCTATCTAATCTTATCCTATCTATCGATCTATCTATCTGATCTTATCTTATCTATTCTATTCTATCCATCTATATATATACTGTATATAAGATATGGTCCCAAATATGTCGCGTTACCCCGTACTAAAGCATGATTTCTTGGGGGTGTTTAATGTCAGGTGGAAGGGATCAAGTGGTGAATAGTCCTGGTTAGAAGTCGCCGACAGCAATGTCCTTTTGGTAAAAATAGAGGGGCCGGTTTGGTATACCATCTATCATCATTTACCTTCAAAGGGGTTTCTGAAGAAATCCCTCTAAGTCCCCGATTTGTGGCTTGTCCAAATTGCTCAGTGGGATGACCCTGGGAAAACGATGGCAGGAAACTCACAATGGACCACTGCTATTCCAAGCTATTCCTAGAGTTTGAAACTTCCAGTAGCGGCAAACAAAATCAAACAAACACTGCAACCGAAAACCTTTGTGCAACTGATCAGTGGTTTAAAGATTATCATTTCCAGTCTTGTTCCATCTTTTGTTTTGGAAACCCGATGATCTCAGAGACAAATCACTGCAGCCCAGCCACAGCAGAAGGCGAATTTTGCCATGCAGGTTGGCAGCACTCGGCAGGGCACGGCCCCCATGACCTTCGTCATCAGCTGCCGCTGCCGCCGCAGTGCCTCAAGCTGCGCCTCCCGAGCCGAGTGCACCCGCAGATCGAAGCGCGAAATGGAGGCGTGCCAACGACAGAAACACAACGACAACCTCGGTGGAAAGGAACTCAAAGATCTCAAAGTGAGGATGGTGATCTTGGAAATCTGTCAAGAAATCTGGCCCAACTGTACAACATACCTGGATGTTTCATGATTTCCAGAGTCCTGGCTGCCAGGAGGCAAGCCAGCTGCCATGTAGACCCTTTTGGCTGTGAAGTCGACCATATTGGCCACCAAGCTGTTATTCTGCTTGCTCCTCACAACCTGGGGAGCCATCGGCTGACTAGGGTCCAAACCTTGGCACCCTTCTGTTCACACCAAAACAGCTTGTAAATGTACCTTCAAAATATATATCAAATATGGTGTCTCATAGGTTTTGGTCCGGTCAATGTTGTGTTTTGAAACTTGTCAATTGCATTTGGAAACTACTATTGTGCAACATGAATGTTGTATTTTGAAACTTGCCAGCTGCATTGTGAAACTGCGAAGATGGTATTTTATCGAAACTGGTCAGCGTACCATGAACAGCGAGCGCAAGTATATGAATGATCATGATCATGATGTTATCGCCCCGCCCCACCCAATTCCAACCCCACCCAGTTGCGCAAGTTGCGACAGTTCCGGAAGATTAGTTTCCAAATCCGATGAGTTGTAAACAGCATAGTTGCCCACGCATAGTGGCGCAGTTTGACCGAGTCATTGCGCAATCCGACCAAACAGGACAAAAACATCCTAGTAACCACAATCCAGAGGAGTTTCCCACGGCAACCGGATCCCCAACATCATCCAACATCCCCCACATTTTAAGATGGGATCACCACAAAAATCCCCAGCCCCCAGCACCAAGTCATTGCGTTGCCGGCACCACGGCACCAAGATCCACATCTGCAGCGCCGCCTCCACCTGCCACGGCCGTGGCGCCGCTCCCGCGACTTCCCGCGCCGCGCGGCGCCGCAGCTCGCGCTGCGCCACCCTGTCGTCCAGGCGCTCCAGGCGCTCCGCGGCCAACTGCAGGGCATGGGAGCCCAGCGTGCCGTGCCAGGCGGCCAGAACCTACCGGCTGCTGGTTTTGCATGGGAAATGAGAGAATAAGAAGAAAAAGAAGAAGATAATGATTTTCAATGCGATTTATAGAGATAAGAACAGCACAAATAGCATGATGAGGCCAGAAACAAGACTGTGCTGCAAACTTCTGGTCACATCCTTGCGGAGAAGACTTTACCAAATCAACCCAAACAAAGCCCTGCGTGTGTGTGTGGTCTTCTGGCCAAGTAGCAATTTGCTGCAACAAATCCGTTCCTCTCATTGCAACCAGCTGCTCCTTAGATAGTTCGCCAAACAAATCAACCGGTCTTTCTGAGCTATCGCTCACCCGCATGATTCTTCTTGAGAAGAGCTAGTGAGAAGAGCTAGTTGGAAATGGATCTTGACACCCTATCCTAGGCTTACAAGCTTTGTCTGCATGAGCATTATTTCCAGTCCACTTGAATCTCAACAAGATCAAGCGGCTTCCCTCATTCACATTTATCACTGCATTATGTCTGTCTGTCTGTCTGGACGTCGCCAAGGCTCCATCCTCTGGACCTGTCGCAGATGGCACCAGCGGCGCTTCCAGGCCACGAAGGCCACGAAGGCCTCGGAGCCCTCCGCCTCCAGCGCCACGGCCCAGCGCTCGAGGCACCTGGCCCAGCGCAGCTGCGAGGTCGTTTCCCGCTGCGTGGCGTCCTCCTTCCTCGGGGAGCCATGGCACCACAGTTTCAACGCTAAGCCACAACAAAGCTGGGAAAAGCGACTTTTCCGGGTGTAAACTTTAGTGTAAACTGGTAAATTCTGCAGATCCACTTCCATTCCAAGTAAATTCCAAGCATCTCTTGTTCCAGCTGCCGCAACTGCTGCGTTTGTTCCTTCTTCTGCTGGCTACTTTGCAGGTGGAACAGCCGAGCATCTTCGCTCAACTGGTCGAACTGCCGCTGGTTCCTGGCTCCGAGGCGCCCCAGCGACCCAAGATTTTTAAGACCTCCAACTCCAACCTACCGTTTTTTTGCAACTTTGAAGATTCAAAGTATATAAATATGTGTGTGTGTACGTATGTATAATAAGGTTTAAAATTTATTTACAAATTATTTACATATATGTTTCAAGTATGTGTGCATAAGTTCCCAACAGACACGAGCCGTCCAAATCTTGCTTCACCAAAAATAGCATATTTGCACATATTTGATTGTATTTGCTAGTACGAAGCTCAAGGTTATCTAGTGACCTAGTGGCTTGGGTCATAGTAGACGCTCCTTCTTGAAATCCACCTATCCAGCTATCCATCTGTATATGGGTGGGCCAACTCAAGGCACCTTTGGGAATCCTTTGGGTGTAACCATCCCATGGCAGCTGAGGTTCTTTTCATCTGCCACCCATCCGGCCCATGCTCGCAGGGCGACCTGAAGCACTGCTTCAGGTTTTCCGCTGGCACCACTGATTTCAACTGGGGCCCGCTACCCATCCAAGAGCCCCTGCATTGGATCCATTTGGGGGTTTAATCAATGTTAATCTCTCCCAAAGTCTCTACCATTTTTCCCTAGCGATGCATTGAACAGGCCATGCCACATGTGCCATCTGCTGCCAAACAATCTTGCCACACAGCTCCATAGTCGCTGCGACCTGAACTTTGTAGAGCTGCACGCGGTCGTCCATCTTCCTTGAGCTGCCAGAGAGCGTCATAGTCATCGGCTTGGAACTACCAATTGCGACCAATAAATGGGCTATCCCAATCAAATCGGGTCATTGTTAGTACCAAAGCAACTTGGGTGCGTCAATCATCTCAACACCAATCGCTTGGAGCTTGGCGTGCAACCAGGGTCCAATCATTGCAAGGCCGGATGAAACCATCTGATGGCTGAGGTGCAACGCCCAAATTTCATGGTGGAAGCCGTGGGTTGCCCTGGAACTTCGTAAACAAAGCAACCCCATGAACTAGGTAACTAGTTGGCCTTTGAAATGGCCATCCCTCAACCCCTCCAGCCCTTTCGGCTCAGCTTCTGTAGGGCTGCTTCATGCTCCCTCTGCAAGCCTTCTTAACAGATGTCCAATGGGGACCCCAAGCCCCATGAAAGTCGTGAAAATTCACACGTTTTGAACGCTACATTTCAAATCCACATGTCATTGTGCTTGGAAAGTGAGACAACATCCTAAAACCTTGTTGATTTCCTGTTTCTCTTACCACGTCATGTGAACTGGAGATCCATTTGTCATCGGACACGGCTCATGGTTTAGTCTGAAAGTAGGTCGCGCCCAAAATATGGTTTATGTAACTTATGTATGATTCTACCCCTTCCATATATTATGATATCCTGGCTTGGTGAGTAGAACTAGCCATTAAGACTGCCATAGAAATTGGAGCCATTGGTGCCACCGGCCTTCCACCACCCCTTTCTGCTTCTCGTATTTGGCCCTCCAGCGATTCGCCAGCAGATCCGGCGCTTCTTCGCTGGGCGGCTCAAAGACCTCATCGCACCCGGAGCCTGGGAGCCTGGGAGCCTCAATCCCAATGGTCAACCAAAAGGAAACATCAACCATCCACAATTCAGGTTTACTAGGGAATCTATGGTATGATGGTAGATGATGGTAGATGATGGTAGATGCGTCGTTCACTAGTTCGATGGGTTTATAAACCAACAAACATCACTGCTGGGCACAATCAATCCTTTTGTGCCCCACTATTTATCGATCTATCTATACACCGTTATATACCCCTATATAATCATTTCCATTAAGTGCTGAAACACCATTGGCTCCCATTCATCAATTCCCATGACTCGCCTAAATCCCCTGACTTCTATCCCATCATTCCCCCATTACATGAATTACTCAACCATCCCACCCCACCCCAGGGACCCCAGCCCGCCTTGGCAAAGTCCGTCTCCCCCACCGACAGCGCCCACACCACGGCTGCCAGCTTCTCCCGGCGCTGCAGCAGCACTCGAAGGCTGGTGACCACCACGCCTCGCGGCAGCGAGGTCGGCGGCAGCGCCGGCCACAGCCGGCTGCGCGATGGGCTGGCCTTGGGATGAGCCGAGGTTTTCTGGGGAAAAATGAGGGTGCGAAAAAATGCGGGAAAAATCCATTTCGGAGAGAGATTTGTTTTGAGAAAGAAGGGGATGTATGCGTGCCTAAAAGTCAACGGATGCAAAATCACCCAAATTGGTCTTCAATATGAGTATGGGCAGTTGCACACATATTCGAAAGTTGGAACATCCGCCCGAACCATGCAGAAAAATTACCATGTTGTTCGCATATGACTGCTTGGGTCAGTTTCCTTTGCAGCCATGCAACCAATTTTCTCAACAATGCCATGGAATGTTTGAACCACATATATATTTTACGTGTATGTAAAGAAAAATATGCGTGCTTGTCCAAATAGATAAAAATATGTTATATACATATGCATATATATATATATATATGTGTGTGTGTCTATATATATGTGTGTGTGTATGTATGTATGTATGTATGTATGTATGTATGTATGTATGTATGTATGTATGTATGTATGTATGTATGTATGTATGTATGTATGTATGTATGTATGTATGTATGTATGTATGTATGTATGTAGTATGTATGTATGTGTGCTGTGTGTATGTGTGTATGTGTGTATGTGTGTATGTGTGTATGTGTGTATGTGTGTATGTGTGTATGTGTGTATGTGTGTATGTGTGTATGTGTGTGTATGATTGTTTATTTATTCATGGTACCAGTAAACCAATAAAGCTAGGTGACCTCCAAAGGCAAGCGAAGCTCCTGCAAGCCTTGCACCTCAGCCCGGAATTTCAGCGACCTACCAGCAGCTGAGTTTTTTCCACGTTTTCTGGGATTTAATGGGACTTAATGAATGGGATTTAATGGGACGTAATGAGATTTAATGGATATGTTAATGGGACTTAATGGGACCTAATGGGATCTAATGGGACTTAATTTGACTTGATGGGGTTCAATGGGACTTAAGGGGTTTTAATGGGACTTAATAGGATTTAGTGGATGTGTCGGATATGTGAATGGGATATATAACCAACATATCATGGGATTTGTTGCATCAACAATAGGGACTTGGTGGGGATATACTGTAATGGGATATAAGCCACTTAATATGCTTCGGGTGTGTATAAAAATGGGGTAAACCGAGTTACCCCAAAGGCTACATTCTTGGTTTTCAAACAGATTGAAAAATGCTGATTAACCAGTGGAATTGGGGTTATACTATGTTATACTATTTTGAGACAAATGCAGTTAGTGGCAAAGGCTAAAATCTACCAGAAATCATGGGTCAAGGCACGGAAAGAGAGATTTTACCGAGCAAATTATGATTCACCTGGTTCCTTTGACGAAGTTGCACGGGAAACCATCAACCAAAAAAAAACTACGACATGTACTGTACTCTGCATACGCTTGCCCAATCGACATGTATGTGTATGTATGTATGTTTGTTTGTCTCTATGTATGTATTGTTTCTCTATATATATATATATATGCTACCCCCCCCCCAAGACCTACATTTTTTGTATTAGGTATGTCCTTGGCTGCCTTGTCTTTCTTCTCATCTTCTCACCTATTGCAACACTGCATCAGGAAAGTAGCTTGTGCGCATGCACCTGGACACATCCGGCGCCGCAAAGCGGCATTTTCCTGAGACAGCCCTGCGATGATCTCATTCTGCTCCTCAATCTGAGCGGTTGCCTTCGCAAGCTCGCAAGAGGTGTGATGCAATGCCGAGAAAATCCCCTCAAACTCCTCTTTCCATTTGATCACTTCCTTGCTTTTCTTCTCGAGTTCAGCATCTGCCTGATGTTGTGGACCTTCGGAAGATGATGAATCCGAATCGGAATCGGATGTGGAAGACGAGGATGCTGGCTTCTTCTCTCCCAAAGTGGAACTGGAGGATGATGGCTTCACATCTTCCAAGGCCAATTGCACAGTTGCAGTGCTCCTTTTCGGATTGGCCAGTAAGTTTTCTAAGCGCTGCTGGGCATCTGCACTCCATTCACCATCACCTCCCGGACGCAGGCGCAGTTGCCTTTGAATCGTGCCCATCATAGTCATCAGGTCTCTCTTTGCAACTGGATGGCGGCTGTCATGAACCTTGACTGTTCCTGCTCCGATTTTTTCCAGGAGCTGAGATGTTGACGGTCGAGTCATGGTCACTTTGATGTCAGGCTCTGGTGTCAATGTCATGATGGCCTTGCCTTGCGACATATTCACCGTGCCGGTCACGTTGAAGAACGCCATGGCAAATAAGAGGGGAAGCGATGAAAGCTGAGAACAAGAATGGCACTGGGGCAGTGACAATGGATTGCAAGAATGGAGCAGTGACAATGGATGGCAGGAATTGTATTTATGTCTTTTCCAGCCTAAAGGAATGCATCCAGAATGCATTCTTCCCAATATCTAAGATCCAAGATCTAAGCATTGCGGAGAAGTCTTGTGCAAATCTTGGGTTTGGAATTTGCCAGAATACTCTTACCAATCCCTATGAAAATTCTTTAGGAATCCAAGATTTTGATCATGCATTCTTCCCAAGATCTAAGATCCAAGATCTAAGAATTGCGGAGAAGTCTTGTGCAAATCTTGGGTTTGGAATTTGCCAGAATACTCTTACTAGTCCCTATGAAACTTCTTTAGAAATCCAAGATTTTGATCAAAAGTCTTGTGGGAAACTTGGATCTTGGATTTTGAATCTTGCAAAGAATGCATTCAGAATGCATTCTTTCGGCAGGATTCAAGATTCAAGATTCAAGATTTCTGAGGACTCTTTGGGGCAAATCTTGAATCCACCCCCTGGATTCAAGATTCAAGATTCAAGATTTCTGGGGACTCTTTGGGGCAAATCTTGAATCCGGATTCAAGATTCAAGATTCAAGATTTCTGGGGACTCTTTGGGGCAAATCTTGAATCCTGGATTCAAGATTTGCTGGAAAGAGTCCTCAGGAATCTTGAATCTTGAATCCAGGGGGTGGATTCAAGATTTGCTCCAAAGAGTCCCTAGAAATCTTGAATCTTGAATCTTGAATCCTGCCGAAAGAATGCATTCTGAATGCATTCTTTGCAAGATTCAAGATCCAAGATCCAAGATTCCCACAAGGGTTGGATTCAAGGCTTGAATCCTCTATGTATATATATATATATATATATGTATATATATACACTATATAACATCCCCCAAATCCCGGAATCCAAAATTACATACCAAAAATAGCAAATTTTACTGTAAATACCAGTACTTTTGTGAAATTGGTAGGTCTTGGGGGGGGGGTACCATATATATATATATATATATGTGTGTGTGTGTGTGTGCGTGTGTAGCGACAGCAAAAAAATATGTGTGTGTGTGTGTATTTATGTATTTATTTGTTTTACGTTATATATCGATGATTATCGATGTCCGTCTATCTTGATCCATCACAGGCTATCCAGGCATCGGTGCCATCCCATGCTCTCCCCTGTTTCGCCGCGGAGCAGCTGGTAGTGTCTCCAGGTTTAAGAAACAGCTACCGGCAGGTTTTCGGTACTGCTGTTGGAAAGCCAACTCATCCTGGATGTGATGAAGAAAACGACCAGAAAACGAAGAAAACCACACTGAGCGTCAAGACCGGACGATGCGTTCAACGAGCTGCTCATGGGTCTTTTTGTTGATCTTTGTTCTTGATGGGTCTATTCACTTGCAGGTCTACCAGAGAAGCCATACTTGTCTCAAGTTCTGTTTGCGCAGAACTTATCACATGATTGAACGTAAACATGTGCAAATGTTAATTTTTGTTCATGGAATCATTCACTTCTATATGTGCCCATGGCTATATACAGTGTTTTCCATCTATATATTTCTTCATCTATGCATTTATCTACCTCTATCTCTCTATCCATTCTTTGTCCATTTCCACCTTTTTCATCATTTATCTATTGAGGTTTGTGTTAATCCTTCATGCACACAGGAGCTGCCAGATCTCCCCCATTTTGGGACCCCAGGTCTCCCATGGTCCTCAGCCAGGTAGATCTGGATCTCCAGCTTCCCAGAGCTCAGCTCGAAGGGAAAGGAATGGCAAGGCCATCGCAGCACTTGGTGCGTGTGGCGCTTGTAGGAGACCTCTGCAAAGGGCTGACCCTCGCCCACCACGCCTCGGAGACGTTGCGCGCGATGGACAGGTGAGGTGATGAAAGTCGACCAAAGGCCGGAAGGTGAAGATGAAGATGAAAGCTGGAAAAAAAAATGCCATTCCTGCTAGATTTTGCCATCTTTGGGTGGCCATTCCATTTCAGACATGAACGTGTTTCCAAACATTTCCAAACAATAGCAAGGACCCAGCAAGGACATGTGCCAGGACACTTGGGCGACACAGAGTTATCGAGAAAGGAAAACCTGGGCAGCGCAGGGGGCATGGGTACCCAAACTTGGAGTGTCTCTGAAACATGGATGCAGCTGCTGCATGATTAGAATATATGAAGAAAAGGTATCTTATCAAATCTTTCAATGACCAAATCGCTGGTTGCCAACTTCAAACACTCAGCCTTTTTTGCGGCACATTGGGCGAATCATCGAAGCTTAATCTGACACTTTGTTGTCAAAAAAACAGGATCAGCCACTCCGCTCCACAAAGAAATCGAAATCTACAGGTGTGAAGTCTGCAACATGATCCAAAATTTCAGGGATAATGACTTTAGGACAGTATGGGTGGCAGGTGCAAGCCCAGTGCTCTTCAATCAAAATGCATAGCCACGAGAAAAAAGCACCAAAATTCAGGAAAGATTCACAAAAGCCTCGGATTCACTAAATGAAGTTCAGATTCAACGATAGGAGTGAGTGGAAAATCGGCCCGGCATGCTGCCCGGAACTAGGTGTTTCCATACGCGGCCTAGACACTTCCATCCTCATCCGCCTTTCCCGCAGATATCTCTGACGCCATGCCATTGGCTCTTGGGAAGAGGGCGCCAAATCACTGAAGGAGTGGAAAATGGCTAGGCTTTGGGATCTTTGGGCGTGGAAATCACGTGACACTAAAGAAAAGAGGTAGTTACTAGCTATATGCGTTGAGGAAGGATCTTTTACCCCTAGTCATGTTTGCCAAGAACCCGCATGAGTTTTTTCGGAACTTCACGCACTACATTGAGGCCTCTGTCCGCACGGTTTCAACATTTTGTTTGTTATTCACGTGCCGGGAATCATCCAGACTTGTGCAATTGGGCAGCCGATCGCAGACACAATGGAACTCATGAATCCCCGACGCACACATGCAGGAAGTGGCTCAATCTCATCACAACAAGTGGAAAATTCAAAAAAAAAAATATATATATATATATTGGATGTGTTGCGTGTATCATAGTATCTATAAATATGATTAAACAATTAAATTTGTATATAAAATTATATAAATATATTCGATATATTCGATGACAATCAGCTTTGCCAAGCAATGCTAGGCAAGCTTGGTGTGCCAATCTGAGTTAAAGCACCCCCGGTTCATTATTTAAAAAAGCATGCCCATTTCGCTTGGCTTGGATCCCTGCACCAATTCCTCACATTCATCATGGTTCGGAAAGTTGTAAACCCATTTTTGATGATGATGATGATGATGATGATGATGATGATGATTGCCATACCCTGATGGCTTTACCCAGCCCCTCCTGCCTCAACGGCATCCCACCTCCCTTCGCCCCCGACCTCTCGAGGCGTTCCAAGCGTTGGGACAGCTGCAAGAGTTTTGCCTCCCAGCCGAGATCAATTCCTTAAGCTGTTGGAAAAGGTCTAGGAATGTCTAGGAACAATTCCACTTAGTTCGATGGTTTTCCCCGTACCTCCACTGCAGCCATACAACCGCTCCAGTGGCCTCCGCTTGGGTGGCAAAGGCCGTCAGAAACTCCGCAGTCTCCGCGGTGAAACGATTCACCTCAAAACCGTCGCCAAGGAGTGACCGAGGGCTCCAAGAATCCACCATCCACCAAAAATGATCCCAGCATGGTGAGGCTTTCTGGATGGAAAAATCATGGAAAAGTGGTGATTCTTGAAAAACCCCATCTGGATGTGTCTGAAAATCAAGTACCCATAGGTACCCCGGATCTCATATGTAGCATTTCCCCCATGAAAATGCCATACCTTGGGGATGAATCCCACATTTTCAGACACACGATTTTTGGGGTCCCGCACTAAGGCAGCCAACACCTTGGGCTCAATGCGCTGCTTCACCTGGGAGGAGAAGCCCTGATGCACTCCACAAAGTGATCAATTAATATATGCTCCCGTCCTCCGTCTCTCCACCCCCCCCCCATGGGTTGGGTCCCCAGGTAGTAGCCCCAATTCCCTTCTATTTGCAAGCTATTGGCAGCATTTCTGAGGTCCAGCTTCGTATTTGCTAGGTCTTTGCAGCATTTCTGACTACCAGCCTCGCATTTACTAGGTACATGCTACCTTTTAGGCGACCTACGTAGCACACATACTCCTTCAAAGTACCTACGTGCTACCTATAGTCATACATACATGTGCTATGTATCTACTGTATCTACTTCCTGTTTACTACCTGTGTACTCTGACAACACTACCTCTGTTGAACATATACCGTACCTACCATACATGTCAATGATGCCATGCATACCATACCTATCATATCTATCATACATACCATACATACCATACATATGAAATGTAATTACCACACCTACCAGACATACAATAGCATACATACAATAGCAAGCATACATGCCATACATACCATACCTACCTTAGATAGGACATATTCCATACCCATCATAGTAACCATACATACCATACAGACCATACATACTGTCATATCAAACATACCATATCCAACAGACTTACATACCATACCTACCATCCACACAATACCAACCACTCATGCCATACATACCATACCTACCATACATACCAAACATACCATACTTTCCACCATGCCATACCAGAACCGACTACCATACACACCATACCTACCCCACCATACCATACCACACCCCCCACACCACAGGGGGGGAAGGGGGACAGTGCACACCCCCCACCACACCACAGGGGGGGGAGGGGGAAATCTCATATGGGACCGTAATATGGGACCCATCCACCACACACCACAGGGGGGGAGGGACAGTGCCACACCCCCACCACACCACATGGGGGGGAGGTGGAGATCTTCATATTGACCAAGTATATGGGAACCCATCCCTTGGGGGGGGGGGGGGGGGGTGGCAGGGCGTGGTGCATATATACCGATTATATACATGGCCAATAACCAGTCTATATCTTACATGAATGTGTACAAATATATATATACTGATGTCGTAAATAAACACTGATCTTAACTAATACATATCGTGATGTCACCTCCCGGAGTGGAAAAAAGCAAGACAAGAGCAAGGTCCCTTTAAATCGCTTCGAGGCATTTCCTACGTCAGAGGCTGCTGGATGAAATGTGGTGCGGACCCTGAGAGGAACTGCGAATTGCACGCTTTGAGACACCAGTCAGGCGCCCAGAAGTTCATAAGTCACCAGCTCATGTGAGCTGATCAAAGGCTTCAGCTGCTACCAGGGGATCGGATAACGGGATAAGTTACCAAAGGACTGCAGATTCTTTGATCAAAACAGATCGCAATGGCAACATGATATATGGCCATGGTGTCTGGGCATCTCCATCTCCACTCGGTTGCACTGAGTTTGCACTTGCCCAGAACCAACCGCTGGGAGCCCCTGCTTGTGCCACAGCCATGGTGTGCCAAGGGGCGGAATCACATGCCGAACGGTGGAGGGAATTCACTTCTGATCTTGAGCTATTGCATGTGTTTGCAATGCTGGTGAAGGGTTTTAGGGAAGGCACTAATGAATGCTGCAGATCAAACCGAGTGGTTCAAGTTGTTGTTGAATGAAATTCCGTGCTGCCAAACATGGCTGAGCTAAAGCTTCAGAAAGTGTAACCAATGAGGATAATGGGCTCAATGAAGCATCTGTATCTTTCCTTTCAGTCACGATTCTTATGCAGATTCTGACGTGGAACGGATGCGAATTGCGAACAACCCACTTCGACGCATCTGAGCCGAAGCGAAGAGCCACGACCACCCTTGAAGAAGGCAGAACAACTCGACACAGGGTGCAATTTTGTTTCAGTATGCGGCCGTACTCTCACCGCCACTAGTCCGGCGTCCCTCAAAAATACACTGGTGCATGTGCTTGAAATCCCATCATCAGGCCAAGGGATTTCCCATGATTTCGCCATGGAAATATCGCCCCAAGCATTGCATGCTCTTTTCTGCAGTGCCTTTTAGGATGGTGCCCACTATTTTAGTGGGGACCATAACAAATCCACTTGGGTATGAGAACGCAAGCTATGTACATGTGTGGAAACTCTCTCCATGAAACGGAAATGATTCCACTAGAGACTCGAGACTAACCGCAAAGTGTCTGAAAGGTGGAGCTGGTGATATGGTAGAAGCTCACAGCTCAAAAGATGTCGAAACCGAAGGTGTCCAAGTCATCCTCTTTTTTCTCTTTCCTTGGTTGCACCATTGGAGGGGGGAAAAAACAACAATCCTTGGGGAACCGGGAACCAAAAATCCACAACTTCACCTCCAACCAGAATTGATTAAATCCGCTCAAAGAAGCTTCAACAAATATCACTGTAGTCTAACATATTCCAACATACTGTGGCATCCAACTGACTCCTACAGGTACCAAATACATCATTAAGTCTGAAATAAACATAAATTGACTGTGGATACTGTGGCCGAGATTCTTCTTTTTCTTCTTTTTCTTGGCCTTCGCCTCGTCCTTGTCCTCCTTGGAGCCCTTGGGGATCCGAAAGCCCGAGACCAGCGAGGCGCGCCCACCGCTGGGCGATGGGCCCAGCAGGTCGGAGCTCAATGCAGACGTTGCTGCGGGCGAGACGGGCGACACGGGCGACACGGGCGACACTGGCGACACGGGCTGTGGTGCGGCAGGGCCGACCTGGGCAGGGCCCAATGGGGAGCCTTGAAGCACTGTTCATATCTGATGTTCTATCTATCCATCCATCTATCCATCCATCCATCCATCTGTTAATAACATCAAAAGGCCCTGAAAAGTCTGGCGGAAAAAATCTATTGGCGCAATGCAACTGGCACCCTTGAGCTACGCTCCCCCCAAAAGGTGGAAATCAAAGGATATCCGGATATCCATCCTCTTTCAGCAAATCCCAAGCCACCAACCACGAAGCCGAATCTGCCGGCTTTGCGGCACTGGCTGAAGTTTCAGGCGCCACGGTGGGTTTGATGAGAGGTTGGATCCGTTCTGCCTTGGTCCGGGGCGACTTCTTGGCCCTTGGCAGCTTCAAGCGACCCGACTGCGGCACCAGTTCAGCGCTAGGGCTTTCTTCGATGAAATCTATGGTGTTGTCCGGCAGGCCCTTCGGCAGTTCAGGGAACTTTGGGTTGGAACTGAGGGGTATCATGGGGTATCTAAACAAATTCCTGAAAACACCGGAACTGACCTAAGAGTGGCCCCAGAACACTTGATGTGGATGTCAGGCATGCCCTGGATTCCCAGCTTGAAAATGTATCACCAACTTGGGGTTCATCGTCCAAGCTTCATCGCTGCCGTTGCTTCTTTGCCGCGCTGGGCTTCCAGTGCTTTCCAGCGCTTGATGAACAGGGTCCTCCCGATCGAAATTGACCTGGAATGACGCAACACATCGATTGGGACATCCTTTCACCCGCGAATATTCTTACTGAGCACATCTTGTTAACCTTCAATATTCATTGCTTGGTCTGCCAGGCGGGAGCGGTGCCAAGCCAAGAAGTGGTGACACCCAGCTACTTTCAAGGCATGATATTCTCCCCCTAGCCCCTCTTCCATTCTGATCATTCTGGGTTCCTTTGGAACTTCCCAACTAACGCCATCTTTTCCATCCAGGGACAGGTGCCATTTTGAACTTTTTGTCCCGGTGCTTCACTGGAGCTTTGGTGGTTTCTTGGCTCACGCTCGGCCCGTCCAGGGAAAACGAGAGCGAAAACGAGGGTGGCTCCGCTTCTGCCACACTGGTGCCAACAGCGTCAGACGGTGCAAACACTTCCAACGCATCCCCGGTGGCAGCCGCATCCTGCGCATCCTCAACGGGCGTCAACAATGTGACATCGCCTGCCTGGCCATCGTCTTGTTGAAGCGTCGCAGCCTCCAAAATGCCTCCGGGGGCACCTCAAAGCTGGCATTTTCTGTCAAGAATCAGGATCTCGAAAAGCACAAACATAAAAATATCGTGACAAAGGACCCAAAGTCAACCCATCCCTGCACCTCACCGAGCCCCTCCCAACAGGCGCCTTCTCCGTCCTCTTCCCTAGCCAGTTCCGTTGGACTCAGCATCTCCATGAAATTGGCCTCGTTCACCGCCCGCAGCTCCTCTTCCTGGCCGGGCCACGTGGAGGAAACCTACGGCTCCACATCCTCTGTGCCCATGAAGCTCATGGATGAGGCAGGTGGATCACCTGCCGGTTCCAGGTCCTGGCTGAGAGTGGCTGGGAGAAGCTGGGGCGAATGCGATGTCAAACTCATCGTGATGAAAAAATGTAAAATAGCATTCCGACCGCAAGACTGCAACGCACCCAACAAACCCACCAACTTTTCACACCGAGTCACATCATGCATCTTTGCTTTCAGGCTTCTTCCTTGCTCCTGGTTGCTCATTTAATTCCATCCAAAAACTATGCGATGATCATCATACAAGAGTAGATTCACCAGTGACCCAAGTATTGCCAGATCCTTACATTCTCGTTTTGGGTCCATTAAATCAGATTCCTGCTCCCAAAATTGTGGCCCAAGTTGATGCTCAACACTGGTTTGATACTCAAATCCTCCAGGTCTGGTTCCTAGAACCACCACCAAACCTCAAAGGCTCACGATTTTTTCATCAAAAATGTCCCAGCCCCCAGCAGCTCCTCGAGCCTCTTCCGCTCCTGCCTTCCCCGTTCCATGGCCTGAATCTTCACCGCCGCAGCCTCCACCACTGGGTCCGGGGCATCGAAGAAGCCCAGCATCGCGGCGCGCGAGGGCGGCGAAGCCGCGACGGGCTTCGCTATCTTCGCTACGGCGTCGGTTTCCAGGTGCAGCTGGACCTCAGCTCAATGGCAGTTGTTAGCCATGACTTAAGTCATTATGATTATTGATATAACTTGATATAACCATCACTCATTGACTATACTGATCATTGATTATGGTTATCGTTATAGTTATGATTATTTATCAAAATCATTAGTCATTGATCGTTAGTTATAAATATAACTTATAACTTATAACATCTTATAACCACTAATCATTTAGCATTTAATTTAACCCAATTATAAGTGGATATAACTGATATAACCCATTTTCCTCACCGGTTAATTAACTGGAAAATATCTGATTGGTGCTTGAGAGCCAGCCCCCTGAAAGCATATGCTTGCACGTGGGATGATCCCGCAGTAGAATCTGCTGGCATGTTCACTGTGAAACCATGAAATCCCGGAGTCTCAAAATGCCATAGAATAGACATCCACGTGATACCAACAGGGATACCCTTTGAATACATTCGGCATATCTTTTCGACCGTTGTTGTCCAGGTCTTTAGATTAGGGCATCCCTGAAAGTCAGAAACAGGTGAGAAAGGAGCCATCGATATTATGTTCTTGGCCAATAATGTAGTAAATGAAATGGTGGGATCATCACAGTTTTCCATCTTTTGGTCACTCTATGTCACTCTCATTGGCTTCACACATGAGTTGCCAAGGTGCGGTGTCTTCTTGGCTGTTGCGTCGCGACGCGACGGAAGGAGTTTTCGCTTCGGCGGGAAGGGGGCTGGTCCTGGCAGACGGGAATTGGGAGGTTCCCAGACGTTCAAACTTGGGTCCAAGGTCAATGAACATGTAGATACTGTTACATTCGTATATCTATGCCGAAATCTATATGGTATCTAAACCTATGTTCATGTTTTTAAAATTCCTATATATATATATATGTATATCTATCTATCTACCTACCTACCTACCTATCTATCTATCCATCCATCTATCTATCTATCTACCTATCCTGTCTGTCTGTCTGTCTGTCTGCCTGCCTGCCTGCCTGCCTGGCTGGCTGTCTGTCTGTCTGTCTGTCTATCTATCTATCTATCTATCTATCTATCTCATGTGGTATGTGTATCTGTATCAACCTTTATCCATATCTATACCATTCTAAATTCTACATATCTCATCATATATCTATGTCGATGTCTATATCTACATCTAGATGCACGTACACGAACAATCATTTACACGCACACTGGAGGGCATCCAAGGCGGATATGAGTATTTGAATATCTGGGACACCCACACAAAAGAAACTATGGGGATGTTTAGGGGTGCCCAACCAATGAATTGGATCGGATCTATTTGTAGTGAAATAACCCCATGGGAATTACTCAACCATGGCCAGAGTACATGGCACAGCGCAAAAATGAGAACAGCAGGTAGATGCCACCGATATCAATTCACTTCATAAAGGTGATTAGAGAGAGAGAGAGAGATGTCACCAATGACTTCAAACTTCAACAAGTAATCCCTTCACCCTAATATTAAACACCTCCAAGAAACCACGGTTTAGTAGGGGATTTACACTTGTTTGGGACAATTTCGTCCATTTGGGTGGTGTTTAACTAAGCCCCAATCAACTTCCATGGTTCCCTCCCCTGCCCGTCCTTCCATCCTCCGGTGCCTCCGGAGCTTCCTGAAGTGGCCGCGACAACCTGGGCCAGTTCGGGATGGAACCCCCCAGGAGGTAGCATGAATCTAACAACACAAAAATAGTGATACCAGTAATAAATGTATTTCAGTATTTCGTAAATCCAAACTATTGCTGTAGGGATTTGGAACCTCGTGTCACATCGCCAGGAAGCCAAAATGACAAAATTCCCTGGGGACTTACCCCAGCTATGGTCTCGCTGGACACATCACCTTCTCGGGCGGCCCTTGTTATAGTCTTCAGAGCTGCTTCCCCACATTTAAGGGATAAATAGATAGCAAATTCTTCCCCAAATCAACTCATACCAAGTCCTCCAAACCAGAAAAAAGGACCTCAAAATGAAGAGATCCAAAAATACTTAGGGGTGTATGAACAATATCGAGAAGGAAGGGATTACGGCTCAGGCCCCTACGTTGCCAAATCAGCTTCAGGTGGTTCAAGCACTTCAGGCGGGCTGACCGCAGCAAACTGCGCCGCGATGCCTCGAGAAGGAAAGATGAAACCACAGGTGGTCTCATTTCACGAAGGAAATGGAGGCCATAGCGCCATATTCCGAAACAATAGTTTTAATACATTAAGGCTAATTGACAGACTATTGCAGTTGCAACCTGCAGTTCATCGATATGGAATATATGTGATGCCCCTCCTGTGCACATCCTTCAATCACGGACCTGTTACTTCTGAGAAAATAGCTATTAACGAGTTTTCAACTACCCACAACTGTGGTCCTTTTCCATCCTTTTCCTAGGGGTAAAAGTCATTAAGAAACCCAGCCTTGCACTACCCACCAGAACCAACCGGCTGGTCGTTGCGCCACCTAAAGCTCGCCAAGTTATGATTAAGTAATGCGTCGCAACTCTGCAAAATAAGCCAATGAAATAAGGGGCAGTTTCCCAAGTTCAATCATAAAACAACCATCATTCCCAATCATGAACCCATCTCATCTCCAAGCATGCACCATTATTGGTGCGATAATGAACCATGATTAACCGCCATTATGTAACCATTATTGGGATCATTGACCACCATCATTGTTATTTTTTCACAACCACAATTAACCAGAATTCGCCATAATCAACAATAATAAGTAATGTTAATTTCATATTAATGACCGGCCCGAAGTAATCAACGCCCACATTCCAAAAAATATTTGGCAATACTACTTTGGATTGGTCCCTCCCTATTAATAAACGGTTTAACCCCAGAAATCCTTATTGTGTGGTAGTCAGGAGTCAGGATATATGTGTTTTTAATGGTTTTAAGTTTTAATTGTTTTTTAATGGTTGAAAAAGTAATGTTTTGAGGGATGTCCCATGCCCAATCTCAACATCATCTCACCCCAGGTTAGTTGTTTTTAAATGTGTTACAAACCCTAGTCTTTTAATTGGGGTCTCTTACCTTCTAGGGTGAAGGGAGGTTAATACATGTTATATGATACGAACTTGGCACAACCCCATCCCCAACTGATACCCCTCTCGGCACCTCTCCGCACCTGCCGTCCGCGCTGCACTGCCTGAATCTTCCGCGCCGCGGCCGCGCGCTCCTGCGAGGTATCCAGCTGCGTCCAGAGCTTCCGCCAGCGAAACAGGGACTGAAGTTTCCTCCAACGGAGAGATGCCAAGGCAGGATTCATTTCATGAAAATTTTGCGGGAAATCATGGTTGTTAGATGATGTTAGATGTATCTTCATTTTTTTCATCAACCAATTCTGGGAGGCAGGAAACCGTGGCCTCTCGAGCAAAGAGAAATGGAGATAATTACTGTGATATTGACTAATAGGTATTGATAAATTGATTTCGGTATAGGTTTGGGTCGTGTTAGAACTGGATAGGGATAGTTCGTGGATTGCACCAACTTTCTGGTCCAACCACTGGTTGATTTTGGATGCAAAACGTGGAACACATACAAACAACCAGCCGCAGCCTTTTCCGGGAAACAGTTCAGAATGTTCCAGCATCCAAAAATGTCAGTCAATTTTTCCAAATCCCCAAACCCCTCAAAACCACAGTGCCTGGCTGCCACATCCATCTCCTTAATCCTTGGCCCCCGTGGCGACGACTCGCCTTCGCCCCGCCCAGTGAGGTGTCGCAGCTCCCCCGCGGCATCCACGGCCTTCGAAGGCAGCCCTGGGAAGGGCCACAGCTCCCTGGGGCGCCACAGCCGCAACTGCTGCTGGAGCTGCTCGCGGAACTGGAAACGTTGCGCCTCGAAATGGCGGCTGGGGTGGTTTCCACCATGGAGATGGACTGATCCCACAAGGATAATGAATGTTCCAAATTTGATGATTCAAGAATTGCGTTGTGGAAACTGTGGTTTGTCACAAACGTCGAATTCCTGTCAAAAATTGACATGTACCGTACCTACTTGAACAGGCGAATGGACGTGGTGTGAAAAAAATGGTCGCGAGGTGGCACACCTTAACCGCTAGAAATATTGCAGGGTTCATCCTTTTTGTTGGTTGAAACATGTGCAAAACCGATCCTAACTGGAAGTACAATAGCGCGACGTACAATGCAGATTTCCAGTCGGGGTGATGAACCAGCAAATTTACACTTTGATCCAAGCAACAACATGTCCATTCTATATTGAAAACGCCTGAAGGTGCAAATTGTACTTGGTTTGGTGTGCAATTCAATTGTTGCTATGAAAATCTGCACCCCCCCAAAAGAAAATGACGAAACGTTCGCCCACTTTACATCCCTAAAGTTCCTGCTTGCAAAAGTTCCTGCTTGCATTGCATCAATTTATTTTTCAAATAAATATATTATTCCACTCCAACAATAAAATCCCCCGAGCTAGCCTCGTCTCTCAGAGCCTCCCTGAAACGCTCACGCTGTGTGGCGCTGGAAGAGACGCTCCGAAAGGCTTGTTTGACCTGCAATGGCAAGAAAATGCGGCAAAACCACCACCGGATGTCCAAATTGAGGGCAATAAAGCAGCAGCCTACCCCACACCCATGATTGTATGTTTCTCTGTTTGTCTTGCACGGAAATCCCCCAAATTCAACAAACCAGAATTTCATTTTCATGGTTCGCACTATTGACTCGACTAGTTTTTGATTTGCCTTGAACCCACGGACGATCATCATCGAAACTACATGTTGTGCACCACGTGCAACTCCGACTTCTTCAATTCCATTCATGATGTCTGGTGGTTTCAGAGCCTAGTTCAATTTGGGTTGTGCTGGGTTCCCAACGAATGTATCGCCTTTGCAACCTCAGAAACCCAGAAGGTGCTGCCACCCCTCAACCAAGGCGCATCCTCCGGGGTGGCGCGGAACTGCACCACCACCCGTTGCGGGCCCGTTGCGGTGAAGCGGCCCACCGCACTCTGCCGTTGCGCCGCGATCCAGCGTTCCACTGATGCACCGCCGATGGCGAGAAGCTGATCCCCCACTTGGATGCCATGGGTTTCGGCCCAAGCGCCTGGGATCCACAGACTTAAACAAAAATGATTTGATTTACCGTTTCCCGGTTCAAATCTGATCATAAACCAACACCAGTACTTTCATTTCATGATACCAACCCTGTTCCAACTATACATTGCGATTTGAAAAAGTCCATTGATTAAGAACAAAGTAACAAAAACTATTTCAGAACAGATTCACAAGTAATTGGGGTCGCGACCATGTTGAAACCCTAGCGGTCAAGTTCACGCAGGCACGGGGTTATGGCACATCATTTGGTAAGGATAGGTGGAAAGGCTGGGAGCACTCGGATAAAAAAGGATGCGCCTGGGTCAATGTCTACAACCATGCCAGCAGAATCGAAGACAAGGCCTAAGGGCTGGGAATCACAGTGTAGCTCCGCAGCAACACTCACAGCCTGGCAGCAGAAGGGCATGCATTTCCCTTCCTAAAATCCGCCGAGCGGTATTTCCACCGGCGTCATCCATTTTGTCGTGTTTCCAAACCGTTTCATCTTTTAAACGCAACTTGGTTGGGCAGGTCTCGGCTGCAAGGGCCTCCCAGAAACCATGCAAAGGTGAGAACATTTTGTGTGTGGTGAGCCCATGTTATTCGCGCGCGCGTCGCGGGCGGGGTAGGGTGGAGCAAAGAATGGCGATGCTGGAGGAGCATGAAATGGCGGAAAATACGTTTCCACACTGTAAATTTAATTCTGCACGTCAGTTTGAAACCACCCCCTGACACAAGCACACACATACATACAGACACATTTGACGCAATGTATTGTCAACAGGTCAAAGATGGGTTGAATTTCACTAAATTGAGCAACCCGTGAAACATGTTAGTTTTGGTTTTGGGCGGACACCGTTTCCAGGAAAATGCTGACAAAAACTCTGAAACTTTTGCAGCCCTTGAACCTACATTTTTTTAAATCAACACCGCCCAAAAAATGAAAAAATAACCCTACCCCTATAGAGGGGGAGGGCGGGGGGGAACAAAACCAACCTGTCGAATTTCATTTTTTTGCTTGGAAAGCCTGGGATAATGATCCTTCCCCTCGAATGGAATTGTAAAGAAGCATTTCTTAACAGGCCTCGGAGGAGCTAAGCGCAACTATGATCACGGCAGCGCAATTTTTTGGAGGGATGCCATCCCTACACATATGCTGCTTCAGTCTGACGTTTACTTAAGCGCAAGTATTTAATTTTCACCTCGTTGCCAATGACATGGAATGATGAGGAATACTGATCATTGAGACAGCATGATTGCAAAAAATATATTTTAAAATGAAATTTCAGTACGACCCCCCCCTCAAATTCAATTTTTAAAACGGTAACGATTAAACAAATAATCGAAGTCAATTTCATTGAGACAGATACAGCACATGGCTATGCCAAGTTCAGGCTGTCGTCAATAACAAAAACGCAAGGGTAAACCAAATTCAACATGAGACATCTTCCTGGAACGGGTGTTTTTTTCGCTTTCCGCCCGTTCGAGTCGAAGACTACGGCCCCATAGGGACATGGGCAAACCAAGAGTCACAACATCCGACAAAAATTCAGGAAGGCTTGCTCTTCGGCAAGCCAATCATGCCGGTTCCTGGCTTCAATCAGCCATGACTCTTGGCCAAATTTATTTAAAACAAATTTACGCAAGCAGTCATCCCATCTTGTGGGTGGACGACCCCTACTACGACATGGTTTGTCTTCAAAATTGAATTGCCAAGCTTGCTGCGGTTCCCATTGTAAAATTGTCTGAGGCCAACCATGGTTTGCACGTGCTACACGAAAGGCCAACCGAAACTTCGCCAAATACAATGACTCACTCCAAAGTCTCATAGGCAATAACTGCTGCGCTTGCAGAAGTCTTGTGTTCATACGGCGCATGGTGACATTCCATGTTTCTCCTTCAACCCTGACCCACCCAACTATGTGTCTAAGCATTCGTCGTCTCAACGAATCCAATTTTGAAATTTCGGATTTGGGCAAAGCCGTGGTAGCCAAACCAAACAGAATCGTCGGAGAAATCACGCTGTCAAAGAACTTCAGCCTCAAACGCAAACTAATGTGTTTGTTCAAAAGTATGTGTTTAAATTTGTGAAAATTGTTCCATGCACACTTCTTCCGGTGAGCCAAATCAGCAACTCTCCTTTCAGTAAAATTGCCACTCAGCATCTTGCCCAAATATTTGTGCGATTCCTGCCAAGTAACCACTTCCAAAAAATTGCCTGCTACTTCAATCAAAGTGGACGTGTCCACACCGAATGTGGTAAACAATTTAGTTTTCGAAGGGTTCAGAGCAAGTCCAATGCCATGCAATTCCTCAATGAGAATTTCCAGCATACGCACTAGTTCACACCAAGACTTCGCAAAAAGAACCAGGTCATCCGCATAGCGTACATTGGTCAACCGCTCCGTGCACCCAACATGAAGACCGCAATCGCCCAAACGTCGCTTCCACCGCTCCAATTTTTTTTTTCCCCGGGCGCGTCTTTAGCTGCGAGGGTCTTTGATTCTTTGGCCGATTTTTATACTAGCCCGTCTCCAGATGTGCAATGGCAGACTGTTATACTGGCTTGTCTCCAGATGTGGAAAATCCAAGTTTATGGGGGCAGCGGGAAAGTTGGCATGGACAGTGTGATGGGGAGACAGTTCTTCCTTGAGGAGGGTGACGGCAAAGGGTTGGCTGGCACTGAGCACGACCTGGAGGCGATGGTGGTTTCGATGGCTGTCTGTAAAACGGCTGGGGCCTCGCGACCTTGGATCTGGCTAGGACGCGCACAAAGTTTGCCGCTTCTTGGCTCCAGCGGCCCCCCACTTCAATGCCTAGCACAACGAGTTTGCATGGTCTGGCTGCGAGCAGCTCCGGATGCGTTCGTTCTTTGCTCCTGCGTGCTGTGTGCAGGGCCCCCCGGAAAGTGCCTGCATGTCTGCGGTGTTGCCCTGCCCGAGTTATAAAAAGACCGATGTTGTGTCAAAGGCAAATTGGGCCCCACCCCAAAGACTCAGGCCGTTCGCGATGGCTTCAATCTTCCGGTCATCGTAGCGCTGGAGCTGGTCGAGGTTGAGGTCGGCGACCCGGGTGTGGGTTGTGACTCGGGCCCGGCTTCTCTGCAGATTCTGGCTGCCGCTCGTTGTAAGGTGATGCCCTTCCCTCTCAAGACTTCCCGCTTGTGGACAGGCAGCGCGGTGGTCGCCGAAGGAGTCAAGAGTGCGACGGCGCCGGCACTTGCGGGGGGACAAAGGCAGGGGGAGCCGCAAACGGCGGAGGAGAAAAAGGCGGAAAAAATGGGTGGGATATGTGGTGTTGGAACTGTGTGGGATTGTGGTGAAAAGGCGGCGGGCATGTGAGCCGGACTGGGATTCCATCATTGCTTGGCTGGCCGGGTTGGTGGCGTGGATGACTTCATTTCGGTATGCAGTATAAAGCATGCCTGGCTGGCTGGTTGCTGCCAGCCGCGGGCCACGGCTGTGCCGCTGCGGTTGTCAAATCTACCCAGTTAGAGGTTGCCAGCCATGCCTCCGGAGTTGTTCAGCACAGTCTATCGTTGCTTGGACGGATGGGAGGGCACCGGCTGGTTGCTAAATCGGTGCTGGATGGCATTGGCCTGGTGGGGCGCATGGTCATGGATGATTCGGGCAGTGTGGATCCAAGACGCCCAATAGGCTGGGATTGCCGTGGCCGATGCGGGCGTGAGGCCCAACCCCCCCATGTGCAGAGGCAGGTGGGCAGTGGCCAGAGCTTGGGCTGGAAAAGGAGCTGTGTCCAGTAGGCATGTTCCTTGATGAATGCATGTCATATTGATTTTTCCACATTCCCCTATCATTACCTAGCGGTGGTCTTCCAAACATAAATACGCACTGCACATAGAGGAAAATGTTGATGTTCCAATGCCTTTTTTTTTCACACACCTTTTTCTGCCAGCATCTCAGCACTGGGACCGTCTTGGTCCTGGTTATCGCTCAGCAAATTTGTATAAGTTGTTGGGGTGGGGCGGCTATAAATCTAGAGCCGCGGGGCCCCCCTCAAGGTCGAAGAGAGAGGCGTGATGCCGGGGGTGGGGCTCCGGGGTGGTGTTCGAGCAGGGTGCTCAGGGGTGGCATGTCACCATCAGGGGTGGTGTGTGATGCCGGATATTGGAGGATGAGGCTGGCCGCAAATGGTGCTTGTGCTGCCATTGTGAGCATGGCGGACCAACGAGCTATGGAGGCTTGGACAGCTGCCTTTCGTAAGGCTGGGACGACTGAGCGGTTGCGAGCTTGTGCCAGGAGACGTAGGAAATCTGCTGCCTCCTTACTCCATTTGCCACCCACCTCCATTGCCAGGACCACGAGGCGGCAGCGAGCCCCGCCGACCAGCTCGGGATATGTACGTTCTTTGGCTTGTCGCGCTGCCCGTAATGCTGGGGACCCAGGTTGGCGGCCTTGGGGGCGGGGTTCGCCCGAACTCGTCAAAGGGGAAACCATGGTGGTGTCCACTGCTAGTTGCGCCCCGTTGTTTGTGTAGGGGGAGCCCATGCGCGATCACTTCGATCCTCCGATTGTCTAGCCGGTTTGTTCTTGAGACGTTGAGGTCGGACACCAAAACGTTTGTAGCCACACGGGCTCCGGCTTCTCTGCAAACCCTTGCCGCTGCTCGTTCTAGTGGCCCGGCTCGGCTTCTCAGGGCCCCTGATGTTGCACATGCTGCGCGGTGGTCGCCAAGGGAGTCAAGAGAGCGACGGCACCGGCAGTGACGCACAGACAGCGGGAGCGGGAGACGCAAACGACGGAGCAGAAGAATGCGGAACAGGTCGGGTGGGTATGTGAACTCCGGGCCGGAAGGGATGGTGGTGAAGGTTCGACTGGCGAATGGGCCGGTTTGTGATTCGAGCATTGCTCTGCTGGCTGGGTCGAGAGCTGTTAGCAACTCGTTTCGGCAGGTCGTGTAGATTGGCATGACAGCCCTGTGTTGCCAGCCTCGGCTGGCTAGTGGTTCCTCCAAAGGGTTGGGGAGTGGGTGACTGACCGGTTGCGTGAGTGCATGCCAGTCTGGCGGTTGCCACCCAGCTTGCTCCAAGGTTCGTACCGCGTCGATGGCCGCCTGGAACGCTGGTGGCGGTTGATGTGGGTGGCGAAGTGATTGCAGGAGCGTGCCTGCGAGCGACGGCAATTGGTGAAGGACTGGAAAGGTGTCCGCCCATGATGCCCAATAAGCTGGCTGTGCGGTGACTGTGGCTGAAGTCAGACCTAAGCCGCCCTGGGAGAGTGGGAGGTGTGCCGTGGCTAGGCTGGTTGCTGGGAAGTCCGGGAGGCCCAGCAATGTCTGCAGGCATGCTGCCACACTGGTGTCGTGGCGGGTGGCGAAGTCTTGGGTGAGCTGAGGGGGCGTGGTGCGGAGTGTGTGGTTGCACCGCGGACTCGCGCAAAAGAGAAGCAGCAGCCATGCTGATTGCAGATCGTCCACAGTCGGGATGCGTTCGAGGAGGGCTTGGTGGGATTGAGTTGTGTGAAGGAGCTGTTGGGCTACGTATTCTGCAGTGCCGAGGGGTGCTCCCAAAATGGTGATGCCTTGCTGCTCTCGGGGGAGGGTGGTGTTGCCGACCCAC